CTCCAGCCCACCGGACTTCAGGCGACTGCAGGGCAGGCTCACATTGGGCTCACCCCACCAGAAATCTCAAGCTGAGACTGCCTGGCCGAGCTGCTCCCAAATCTTTCACCCACAGAAGCTGTGAGCCAGAATGAACATTTGCTGTTGTTTTAAACTGCTCAGTTTTGTGTGATCTGTTACTCAGCATAGAAAACTGATACATGTACGTGAGAGGCTGCTGTTGCCCAAATCATCGCCACAGATACAAAATACGCGAATTAAACCATGAGGACGTGCTGGTGTGCATAATGAACAACACATAGTACTGCTGGAAAACCCCACGTCATGTAACGAACGCTCGTTCCACGTTGCCGAAGGAGGGAAAGAAGGCTTCTCAGTGGATGTGGGTGGTGGAGGGGATGCAGTGCAGCAGTTCTTTGGGGTGGCTCTGAAAGGTGGATTTTTACTTTGGCATCATTCACTGCTTTTTCCACTTTGAAGGAGATTACACTCAAAGTTGTAGGACAGCAACGCTTTTTTAGGGTAATAAAAGCTAAGCAAGAGAGCACTTCGAAACAGGCAGAGGTGACCTGTGTGCACAGTGATCAGAGGGCTATAGAAGACGTCCTCGCCTCGTCCCTGGGCACATCTGCTCAAAGCACACCATCTGCACCTGTTCAAGTGTGGGGCACACTCAGAGCTGCGCCGTGTGTGAGGGGCACTTGCATTGTGTGAACCAGTGACTGTTCATTTGCCTGAAACTGTAATGTCTAAATACCACTCTTTATAGAGCATTATTATTTAATGTGTTTCTGAATGAGTCATTATACCAAAGAAAAGTTGTCTGGAAAGGGGCATGATTTTTCAAGAACCACAGTAACAAAGAGTCATTAACCGAACAGATACTGTGCCAGGGGGTGAATCTGTTTGTTTGCACGGGTGGAAACCCTTGTTAGACTGTGGCGGGTACTGGGAAATGCACTGGGTGTGTGTTGGCAGAGTGTTTCAATAGCACCTTAGATGGGTGTACAGCCGACTCTCCTTACTAATATTTGGAAAGAATAAAAACCAACAAAAATATATCACTAGTGGCTTAGGATGGAAGACGTGTATATTGTGGAATTGTCTACAGTGGTTTGTTTTGAGACACTTTATTATATGTTTTTAATAACTGAGATGCTGTAATACCAATTTCAAAATTATATTTAAAACATTACCCAAGGAGACAAAAGTACGTTTGATTAAAGCCGTGTCATTGACTGGCTTGTGTTCTAAAGATTCCAACTGTATTGTCAGGTGGGTTGTAGTAGTTTCTTAGCGTCTCTTAAAAGTCTAGTTCTTATACCGTGTTTCAAACATGCTGTATTTTCACAGCTTTATGACTTGTGCACATCATTAATGCAAATGAGACATTAACCTGGGAAATAGGCTTCCTTTTCATTTCTAACTTTTGGCAAATTGTGGGCTTAGCTTATTTATTGAAAACCTACTCAAAGTGCGTGTGGGATTGATAGCTTAATTTTTATGCTTACTTTTTTTCATTACTTATTAAAATACCATTTCTGTGGAACTCTTTCTTTGCCAAGAGGTTAACATATTATTTAAAAAGAGAATGACCAAAATTTGAGCAAGTCTTGGCAATGATGTGGAGAAGCTAGGACTGTCACGTTGCTCGTGGGAGTGTGAGATGCCTGGCCCCGTCGGTAGACAGTCTGGCCATCTCCATGCCCCTACCGCACAGCCAACTATTCCCCCGTGGGCCGCCCTAGAGAAACCAGACATTTGTCCACATGACTCCCACCCGAATGCCCTTCAGCAGATGAATGGATAAGCAAAATGTGGTCTGTCTGCACCCCTGAGTGTCTCTCAGCAGTAGGAAGTGGGGAGTGCCAGTGCTGTGAAAGAAGCCAGACACAAAAGTCCACTCTGCAGGGTCCCTCCGGCGTGAAATCCCAGAGCAGTCGGAGCTGGGCTGTCCTGCTCACCAACAGCCCCGGACAGGCCAGTGGTTGGGGGAGGGGTGTGCACAGTAGGGCACTCTCTGGGAGGATGGAAATATTTTGTCTCACCTGGGGTGGGGGCTGCACTGAGCTGGGAAAGATGCTACTACCCACAGAGTGTGGTTAGGCGTGGCGGGAAGATAAGTAAGTATTGAGTCACTTGTAAATCCATTCGACACTTGTTGATCGTGATCATTGATTGGAGGTTGTGAGTCTAGGACCTGCAGAGTCTGGAAGTCTTATTAGCTAGAGAGTCCCTGACGTGTAAGTTTTTGTTAGGTTAGTATCGATATTTTGCATGTAAAAGTGTTGTATGTTAGAGATATCGAGTCTCTTATTGTTTCTTCCAGTAGATTTGTGGAAGTTTGGAGAAAGAAGGGGGCAATAGGACCAGAGAAGTGATCACTGTGTGTGGGCAGTGGGGCTCCTGTTTTCTCTGTCTGGGAAGGTGGGGAGTTGGTGAGACCTGGGGTAGGGTGGGCCATGTTTGTCATGGAGACCCGGGTGCTCTCATGGTTAGGCTGGAGAGCAGCAGGCCTCTTGCTGGGACCCAGAGGTCAAGAACACTGGCCTGAGAAGGAGCCCTGAGCCCTGCAGGAGGAAGGTCAGAGCCCATGGAGGGCTGGAGAAGTGTTCACACAAGCCTGCCGGCTGTCACCAAGAGAACTTCTCTACTAATTCACTCGTCCTGGAAGTGGCTTGTTCTCCCTGTGACCTGGACTTGAACTCATCAGGTAACTCTCCTATGATGAGGGACCTTGATGTGCCCAAGGGAAAAGGATTTGATTTTTTCTTATTAGATGCAATGAAAAGAAATGAGCAAGGAATTTAGTCATCTGTGTGTTCAAACATATTTGGGTCATGTTGAGAATCGAAGATTGTTGAAGCAGGGGGGAGTCTCCACGAGGAGAATGCATGGTAGGCCGTGGTGAGAGGGTCGGATTTGCAGAAGGTTTTTGTTTACTTAAACTCCGAAAGGCGCTTTTTGCTACATTTTCACATCAAACAGTTAAGGGAATATGTACTAACATGTTGCATATTTGTTGACTTACTAGTTTATGGTTGCTTGTGTTTTTATAAGCCACTTAAAATACAATTAATTACATAAGTGTGTTTACTTGGAGATAATTCATTGAACTATACACTATGATTTATACAGTTTTCTGTACGTCAGACCTACTTGCAAATAAAACTTTATTACGTGTATAAGATGTAGTACCACGTTCCTTAGGACAGCGTGGTGTACCCCAGTTTCGTACTTAGAAACGCACAGACGACGTGGCGCACAGAGCTCTGTCTCGTTCACAGGCACACGCGTCAGACTGCGGGGTTTCTCTCCTGTCCTGTCCACACTGTTACTCTAAGCCATTGGTGGGGAGGGGGACCAAACAGATATCTTTTTTATGTTGTACCATTATGAAATTAATGTAAATGGAAAGATTTGTTGAATGGACATAGTTTTTAAGGAGTAGAAGTTCTGAAGAGTTCAAAAAAATGCCTTTCATTATGATTGGAACATCTCAGGTGGAAATTAGCAACCCTTTATTATAAATGTAAAAACAGAAACTTTGGGAGTTTCTGATAGTTCTGTCTGGCATTTTTTTGTAGAGTAAACAAATTTCTTTCAAATGGAAGTTTCTGTAACTTGGCTATTTCCAATGCTGGGTCCATACTGCTTGCTCAGGATCTTAGGTACACAGAGTGGGGGTTCCCATTAAGACTGTCGCACAAAGTCTGATCCCGTTTTCCAGGAGTCAAGAGTGCACTTGAACACTGTCGAGTCGGGGGCAGGGTTGGACCTCTGTTACAAGTATAATAGGGCGGTAGGAGGGCGGGAGGTACGAGCACCGACGCTCCCAGAAGTAGGGAGCAGAGGCCTGAGGAGGGGCCATGCGCCTGCGTGGTGAGCAGCACGGAAGTGGGTGGAGGAGCACAGGCCTGACTGGAGCTGGAGTCTCTTCTGTGCTCAGCTCCGGGCCCCTGGCACGTCCCTTCCCTTCCACACACAGATCTGCTAGGAAGATGCGACACATGCGTAAACACGTTAGCACAGCAGTGCGTGTGTGCAGGGCGTGCGTAGTGAAGCGTGTGCGTGCGGGGTGGTGTAGAACCAGGACTCTGCTTGCTGCCCTGCCGCGTGAGCTGTCTGAGCTTCTATGCGCGTTCTCTCATCTGTGGGGGGGGCATGTGACAGCACCCGCCTGACAGTGCTGTTAGGGGGCTTCAGTAAGTTCATGAGCGGAAAGCACAGAGTTCTGTGCAGAGCACGGGACACGCACAGTGAAAATGCTCCGTTTGGTTGTCATCAACAGAGAATGGGGGATGCTGCCAAACTCCCCCCGTTACCGCCCCGCTTGCTGTGCTCATGTTCCGTATATCATTCATCAGTCCTGGGTCAGTCCTTGGTGTAGACCGTGTGTGTGTTTTAATGAGGCACTTGTGTTTTATAATCTTTGTGTGTTTAGTTTCTCGAGACGAGGTGGCATGACATAACATTTGTTCTGAGATTTGTTTATCCTTGAACATGGGACATCCCAGTTACTCGGGTGCACTGGTTAACCAGCAGCGCAAAGAGGGCCGCTGCCTCGACACACGTTTTCGAAGCTTTGCATGGTGCTGCGCCTCTTACGAAATGTGAGGTCAAGTAGCAGAACTGTTACTTATGTTTAATAAAATCACTCAACACTTAGGGAAGTTCTCATGAGAAAACAGACTAACATGTACTCTCCTGACTTCTACAGAGCCTATTCATTTTTTTTTCTTGAGCGAGGGAGAGGAAGAGGAGAGAGAACACATTGATTTGTTGTTCCACTTACTGGCACATTTACTGCTTCATTCTTTTATGTGCCTTAACTAGGGGTCAAACCCACAACCTTGGCATGTTGAGAAAACACTCTGACCAACTGAGCTACCCCACCAGGGCCCTGGGAACCTATTTAAGATCTCTGCATGTGTGCAATGTCAGGGAAGTCAGTTGTGCAGACAGAGGCACCCAGCCTGAGTGTGATCTCATCTCTGCAGGTTGGGCATCCACGTGTCGAACTGACCCTCTCAGAGCTCCAGGATATGGCAGCCAGGCAGCAGCAGCAGATTGAAAATCAACAGCAGATGTTGGTTGCCAAGGTAAGTTTTAAAAGCAGAGTGGAGAAGCGTTCAGAAAGAAGGTCTCCAGCCATTACTTTAGGTTGGGGTGAGTACGTTCTTGGGTAACACTTGTCAGTAAGCCCACGCCACAGGAGTCGGGAGCACCACATCCCTTTCATCTCCTTCAAAATAGTAACTGTGCAGTGTGCTGCCACTCCTGACGTGGGGATGTGTCAGAGCAAGGGCCTCTGCCCCACTTCTGTGCTCACACACACACACACACACACACACACACGCACACCAGGAGGTGGTCGGCCTTACCCCACGTAGATGAACCGTGCAGAAAGGACGTTTTTCCTGTCATCTCCTTTTCTCTGTGGGTGTCCTCAGTTGGTGGCGTCAGCTCCTTTGTGTCCTAGAGGAAGCCAGCCAGCCATGCTGAAGGTGCCAGTTGCAGGCCCCAGAGCCAGTGACGCTGACTTGTCAGGCTTCCCTTGATGCCGCCTGGCAAGGCCCTTGTCTGGTGTGTTATGGTGGGACGTAGTTAGACACTCTGTAGACAAGTTCTGCATCTGTTGTTGAATCTCTGTAACTGCAAGATTCAAATCTTCCTAAATCATGGTTTCATCAAGGATTAAACATAACAGATAACCCCCATCATCCACGCCTTCTGGAAATGATTCCAGGTTGTAATGACCTGAACCGCCCTGAAGCCACTGTAATGAGAGCATGTGAACGTCACTGTCTGGGCTCTCACTGACTTTTTTTAAGACAGATTTTTTTTTAATTTCTTTTTTTTTCCAGTTACCATTGATGTGCAATATGACATCAGTTTCTGGTGTGCACTATGTACAACCTATGAAGTGATCTCTCCAAAAAGCGTGGGGCCCACCTGGCCCCATAGTTACTACAGTATTACTGACTGTATTCCCTGTGCTGTACTTTACATCCCTGTGTCTGCTTTTATGACTGGCAATTTGTGCTTCTTAACCTCTTCCCCTTTCCACTGGCCCCCCAGTCCCTCTTAACCTGGCCGTCAGTCTGTTCTCTGTATCTTGGGAGTTTGTTTCTGTCAAGTTTGTTCGTTTATTGTTTTTTATGTTCCATATGAAGGGAAATCTGTAGCTGTTCTTTCCTTTTTATTTTAAGATTGTATTTATTTATTTTTAGACAGAGGGGAAGGGGGAGAAAGAAAGGGAGAGAAACATCAGTGTGTGATTGCCTTTCACACGCCCTCTACTGGGGACCCTGCCTGCAACCCAGGCATGTGCCCTGACTGGGAATCAAACTGGCAACCCTTTGGTTTGCAGGCCAGCGCTCAGTCCACTGAGCCCCAGGGCCGTCCACTTCAGTTTTCAAAGTGAGCTGTTCCCTCTTTCATCAGGAGCAGCGTCTGCATTTCCTGAAGCAGCAGGAGCGGCATCAGCAGCAGTCTGTTTCTGAAAGTGAGAAGCTCCAGAAGCTAAAGGAGCGCGTGGAAGCCCAGGAGAATAAGCTGAAGAAAATCCGTGCCATGAGAGGACAAGTGGACTACAGCAAAATCATGAATGGCAGCCTGTGTAAGCGCCACAGCCCACTCGTAGCCACATGTGGAAGAGGTGACACGGAGCCCAGCCCCCAGTCGTACACAGGGTCAGATCTGGTACAGAAAGTGCCCGGAGGCTGGGTGCATCCCCTGCAGGGCACGGGAGCTGGGTTAGCGCAGGTGATCGCAGAAGGTCCCCCAGCGGTGTGATAGGAGGGGGCCTGGCTATGTCTGTGACGGCCGCCGTGGTGTCGCAGCTCACCTCGTCGTTCGGGGCTGTGGGGATCACACAGCCCCGAATGTGGTCTGTGGTTGAGATAAGCCGTGCAGATGCTCCCTTTTTGTTTTTGTTGTTGACCCGGTCGGTGCCTGCTTGGTGTGACAGTGGTGACAGAGCCTGGCCTCTTGCTGCAGTGAGACTCCCAAGTGGCTGGACCCGGCCTGCTTTAGGACTGATTGCCTGGGTTACAGAAGTCTCACTCATGAGTGCAAACACGATTGTTTGTCGCATGTTCTGGTGTGTAGGGTCGTGCACATCACAGTCTTCCCTCCCAGGCTCACCAGGGGATGGTGCTGGAATGGAGTTCGATGTGTGGACATGATGAAGATATCAACCAAAAACTAACAAAACTGCATGACAAAGAAATACCAGCTGAGTGAGGTGGTTTTCTCCTTTGGTATCGCAGCTGCTGAGATAGAGAGGTTCAGCGCCATGTTCCAGGAGAAGAAGCAGGAAGTGCAGACGGCGATTCTGAGAGTTGACCAGCTCAGCCAGCAGCTGGAAGACCTGAAGAAGGGGAAGCTGAACGGGTTCCAGCCCTACAATGGCAAGCTGGCGGGGCCGGCTGCTGTGGAGTTAAAGAGACTATACCAGGAGCTGCAGGTAACTCCCGCTGGGCCTGGCCTCCCAGCTGTTTCCCAGTGGGCACTGGGAACCAGGGGCTGGAGGGGAACTAGTGGACTCAGGTGTGATGGGGGCACCAGATGTAGTCAGTACAAAGGAGTGTTTAAAATAGCTCTGAGATGTAATTCACATCGCGTACAATTTAACCACATGAAGTACAAAGTAGTGGTTTTACTGTCTTCCCAGAGTTCCCCATCTACCACTACAGTCGATTTTAGACCATCTCATCACCCCCAGATAAAGCCCACATCTCTTAGCTGTCCCCTCAGACTCCACCCGGGGCCCCTAAGCAATTACAAATCTTTTCCTGGGTCTACAGATCTGCTCTCTGGACATTTTCGGTGTGTGGGCTGTGCCATGTGGAGTTCTTTGTGCCTGGCTTATTTACTGGGCGTTTTCAGTTCAGAGATTCAACACAGAATTTGATTGGCAATATAGTGAGCTAGTGAAGTATTAAGCTTTGGGTGATATTAAGGTGTCTGTGCAAACTGCTTCGATGAGCAGGTGCCCATTGTTAAGTCCTTGGCTCAGCAGGAGCTGTGACAGAGCAGACGGAGGCTCCACCACAGACACTCAGCTCCCCCGGCTCTGCAGGCTGGGGGTCAAGATCAGGGTGCTGGCAGGTTCGGTTCTGGGGCATCTGCTTCCTGGCTTGTAGATGGCCACCTCCTCACTGTGCTTCATAGCTCTGGTCTCTCTTCCTCTTCTGATAGGGCACTTACAAGAAGAGCCTGCCATGGGGTCCCATCTTCACAACCTCATCTAAGTCCACGCCCCAGTCCAGCGGTCATGGTCCCCAGAGCCATTGGTGCCCGTCATTCCATACGCCTAGAAAAGGACATGCATTTGCAAATGTGCACCCTCTTTTGGTTCCATCAGAAACGTGTTTTGGTTTCATCTGTGCTGCACCCATAAATGTTCACAGTGGGTGTGTGTAAACGCATGTGACAACTCAGTTCTTTCTTCTCTTTTTCAGTGTTTCCCTGGTAACGAGAATTTGACTGTTTAATTAATGCAAATCATAAAAGTTGTATTTTCTGTTTTGTAGATTCGTAACCAACTTAACCAGGAACAGAATTCAAAACTGCAGCAGCAGAAGGAACTTTTAAATAAGCGGAACATGGAGGTGGCCATGATGGACAAGCGCATCAGCGAGCTGCGCGAGCGTCTCTACGGCAAGAAAATCCAGGCACGTCGGGGACCGAGTGTTTCTGTGAGATGAGCTCTCGCAGTTGCTTCTACCCCAAAGCGCATGTCTTCACTGCAATGGCATTTTCCCCGTCTGCCCAGATGGCAGAACGTAAATTGGCCCTGACCCTGAAAACACCGGACGCAGTAGGAGACAGTGCTCTTGGACGTTTGTTTTCTACCGTCTGGAATCAGGGCCACTCCCAGGGGCGGCTCCCAGCCCTCCACTCGCCGTGGCTCTGGAGTCACAGCACTTGGCCATGTTAAGCCATTTTAAGCTGGGTCTCGGGGGAAATTCCTTAACCTCGTATGGCCTCGTGTCCTTACCAGAAAATGATTTGTCTTACCTGCCCAGGAATCAGCTTTGTAAACTCAAAAGATTTTATTTATTTATTTTTAGAGAGGGAAAGGAAGGCAGAAAGACAGGGAGAGAAACATCAATGTGTGGTTGCCCATCATGCGCCCCCTACTGGGAACCTGGCCCACAACCCACACATGTGCCCTGACTGGGAATTGAACTGGCGACCCTTTGGTTCACAGGCCGGCACTCAATCCACAGAGCCACATTAGCCAGGGTGGGCTTTGTAAACTTTTGAGCAGAGTTCTATTTAAAGTGGTTAGCACTTAAAAAAAAAATCTTTATTTGGTACTTTGAATTTCAAAGGTAATAAGTACTCATTGAAAAAAACTTAAAACAGTACAGAGATATTTAAAGAAAAATGTGAAAGTCCCTTACACCCTGTGTTCTTTTTTGAGGGATGATAGTTATTCATTGTTCCAGTCTTTTGCTTAATACAGACAGGAGGTATTTAATTTTTCATTGAAATGGAATTGTAGGAGTTACATCATTCTTACTGTTCTGAACCTAGCCTTTTCTTTAACTGCAGCCCAGGTATCTTTCTAGGTCATTGCTTCATCTCTTTTGGCACTTGTGTTTAATACCCCATGTCCGAGGCCTGTGGCCCCATTGCCCAGCCCTGCTGTCGAGCAGGTATCCCCAAGTCTTGCTGTTGCTCTCCGTGCTTCTGTGCACACATGCAAGGCTGAGAGCTTGTGCAAGGTTAGTCGGGGACTACTGTGCGCTTTGGCTGGATGTGGTTCTCCCCCTTTCCTCCATGGCTGGTGCTCAGGGTTGGAGGGAAGCGATGCCTGAGCCAGGGCTGGTTGGCAGTCTGCTGTTGGGGGTGGAGCATGGAGCAGGCCACCTGGCTAGCTGGGACAGGGCTCCCCAGGTCTCCTGTCCACACTCAGCAAGTGGGTTTTGTGGTTTGACAAGTGTCCTTGTCAGCTCCTGCTGCTCTGAAGGCGGCTCTCAGGAGGGGAGGCGTCGGCCTCTGGGCCTTTGCCTGGTGGGGTGGGGCGGGAAGGTGCTAGAGAAGGAAGGGAACTGCCAGTTCTGGGGCTGTGGTAGTTGGTGGTCTCGGGTGGAAAGTCTCTTATTTACAAATCTCTGGTTTTTTTAACCAACGAGCTCAAAGGTCAGTGGTTAATCTATATAACTCTGTGATCACAGGTCACGGTTTTCCTCTCGATCTTGATGAGCAGCACAGAGGCCTTGAGAGGACACTGGCACGATCTCCGTGCCTGCTGGTGTGGCATTATTCTGCTCTGGTGTATCCAGCGGGTTCTCCGTGGGAGCAGAACCAATGGATGGCCCTGGCCAATGTGGCTCAGTTGGTTGGAGTTTCAGGCTGTAAACTGAGAGGTCGCAGGTTCAGTTCCCAGTCGGGGCACTTGCCTGGGCTGTGGGTTCGGTCCCTGGTTGGAGTGCGCACATGGGGCAATCAACTATTGTTTCTCTTTCACGTGATGTTTCCCTCCCTCTGTGTCTGAAATCAATAAGCATGTCTACAGGTGAGGATTAAAAAGGAAAAAAGAGCCAGTGGGCGTTTGTGTTGGGGAAGAGACTGATGGACTGACTCCAGGGAAGGGGACCGCGCGGTGTGGAGGCGGCTGCTGACGCCCCAGGGCCCGACGCCACAGGCAGCGCTCCCTCTTCCTCAGGGGCCGCACTGCTCCTGGTTTTTAGTGCACAAGTCAAGCTTTTATTGTTACTTATTTTTTTAATCTTCACTTGAAGATATGTTGATTGATTTTAGAGAGGAGGGGGAGAGAGAGAAAAACATTCGCACCCTGACAGGGGTCAAGCCGGCATCCTTTGCGTGCACAGCACAGCACTCTGGCCTCTGCCCACTGGGCCTGGGCTGTTTTTACTTGTTCTTGCTTTGGCGAAAACTCATGTCAGGCTTTTTCTCCTCAGGCCCTCAACTGATTGGATGCGGCCCACCCACACCAGGGAGGGCAGTCTGCTTTAGAGTCTGTTGATTTAAATGTTCATCTCGTTCGTTAATATTCTCACAGCAACATTTATCTAGATGTGTTTGTCCAAATGTCGGGATGCTGTGTGGTCTAGCCACGGTAACTCAGAAAATCAACCGTCGCCATCACAAACAGCTAGATAAATGTCATTTTCCACTCGATGCCTCCAGGGCTCTCTCCTGAAAGAAGTGGTGCTCCTGCAGACCTGTCACTACCCATAGGTCCCAGGCAACTCTCAGCATCTGTCAAAGCACGGACCCTCTCCCCAGAATGACATGCTCCAGCACGCAGAACTTTGAAAGCAGTCGTAGGAGGTTCAAGGTTTCTCGAGGGGACCCCTGAGGGGGTCCCCAGTAGTTCTCCAGTTGCATCGCCCGGCACACTCTGTCCCTGCAGAGGGCTGTTGTGGGACAGCATCACTGGCCGTGGTCGGTGTCCTTGCTGAGCATGAACAGCACAGCTGCCCTCAGGGAACTGGCCGGAGCCTCACCTGGTCCTAGGACCTGCCCCTCAGGCCTCACAACAGGCCTTATCCCGACTTCCCAGAAGTGGTCACAGAGGTTCAGGGAGGTCAGGGCACCTGCTCAGGGCTGCACAGCAAGTACGTGGCAGAGCAGGTTTGGAGCCAGGCTCCGGGCCCTGGCTTTGCCTGCTGCTTCTGCAGGAGGAGACTTCCCCGTGGGGAGAGGGCTCCCCAGGTGGGGGTGTCCTGGGGAGCAGACCTGGTGTGTGTGCAGCCGCCACAGGACAGGGGTGGTCAGAGAGCGTCACCCACTGGACCACAGGGTGAGGCCCTTCTTGACGCCCTGTTTAGACACCCGTCTTCCGGGCAGATGGAGCCACCTCCGTGCAGGTCAGTGAGTGAGCGGCTCAGACTGGGGATGTTAACTCTCATTTCTTCCCGTTTTGTAGCTGAGCCGTGTGAACGGCACATCATCGCCGCAGTCTCCGCTGAGCGCCCCCGGCAGGGTTGCCGCAGTAGGGCCTTACATCCAGGTCCCCAGCGCTGGCAGCTACTCAGCCCCAGGGGACCCCGTAAAGCCCCAGTCTCTCACTGGGGCCACCCACGGAAGGTCCAAACCTGGTAAGTGGCCAGACCCTCTTCCTGGGAAAGGAGCAGGAAGGGGAGCTGTGGGGCGGGACCTTGGAGGGTCCCTCGAGCACACTCAGTCTCCCCTGAGGCACCGTGTCCTCTGGGCACCTTTGGGAGCTGTGCACTACCACCGTGACCATCCTATAGACCGAGCACTGTGGCTGGTCGCCCCTTTCCCCACTCAGCTTGTCCTTGTCCATCAGAAAGTCCACAGACCGTCGTGGCGGCCGTGGCCCACCGACACACACAGTATGACGAGCCTTGGGGCCCCGCGTGGTGCCGGTGTGCGCGGTCCTGAAGGAGCGCCGTGTGCTGTGGGCGGGCCTGGCGCGCAGCTGCGGTCTACTTCAGCACCACGCAGTCAGCAGCCGGCTGCTCTCTAAGCCGAGAGAGCCCTGCCCCTCCCGTGCAGATGTGTCCCTTCATCAGACAGGGCGGGGTCTGAGCTGTGCTGGCACAGGGAGTTGGTTTTGGTTTTCTTTCTCCCAAATTCAGATGATTTCCTGAGTTCATTGTGAGGCTTTTAATTTTATCTTCAGTACAAACATCTCCATACCTAAAGATAATTGTCCTTTCATAATAAAAATAAATGATCTTTCTCCTATACTTCCTGTCTCATCCTGAAGAGAATTCCTGGTCCCTTCTTGGTCCTTCTGTGGCTAATTCCCATAAAACCTCTATTTACACGGGATTTCCGGAGCCACTGGGTGGCCATGCTCCCTGGGACACTGACAGTGTGCGCGGGAAAGCCACCGCGAGGCTGCAGCAGGTTCTGTCTCCCCATCAGCCTGAGTCTCCACCTTGGTACGCCTGGGCGCGCCTGTCATTCTGGCCCACGATGTGCAGTCTCAGTTGGAAGGGACACAAGGGAAAAGCACCTCTGGCCTCAAATGGGTTGATGGGCCACACTGAGCAGGTGACGAATGGACTGGGGCCCCGGACTCAGCAGGGCCTTGTGGCTGCCTGGAGCCTGGATGGCTTTCAGCAGTGCAGCGACTCAGCAGCATCACAGCAGACGCAGGGCTTGCATTGCTGCTGCAGAGGGCGCATGTGGCCTCAGAGTGTGCTGGTGCGGCTGCTGCTGCCGCCAAGGCCCAGCCAGGTACTCTCAGAGGCTCTGCTTGTCCTGCGTGCGCTGTGGCCTCTCTGGTCATGCCCAGAGTGCATGAAGGAGTCTCCATCCCGTCTGTAGATCATAGACTTGGGCCTGCATGCTGCTGTGGCCAGGAAGAGTTCTCTGTGGCTCCCCAGTGTGGCAGGAGGGACAGGGACCCGGGACATGCTGTTCCCGTCAGGGTCGAGACAGTCCCCCTGGATTTCTTGCTGCCCTGTGTGGCTGGTGGCTGGGTGCTCACCATGTCACCCAGCCCTTGAGCCTGCTGCAGAGAAGAGACAGCGTGAGTCAGGGCTGGCGCCTGGCCTGCCGGCTGTGAACAAGCTGGGTGCCAGTGCGCTTTGTCACTCTTTTTCAGTTTGGAAGGTGCTCTATAAAAATGTAGCTTCTCAGCAACCTTCCTGAAAATGCAGGGCTGACTGGCTTTCCGATCCCTGCAGCAGAATGTAGCCTGCCTCTCCAGTCAGGGGACCTGGTACAGTCTTCTGTGATCATGTGTTATTATAGAGGACAGAGATTTCTATCAGCTTAAAAGTTAAACTTTCCTTTCAATACTGGGAGGGGTACAGATCAAACCTGTTACTAAGTCAAAAGAAACCCTTTATTGTTGTATGGAAGTGTAGGTAGTGTTTGAGCTTCAAGTGCCAGGGCTGATTTTACTCACCAGTGTTGATGTGACGGGTCCGACCTGGACTTAGCCCGGCCCCCCGGCCCCCCCACCCCCACCCCTCGACCCCCCGCCGGCCCAGGCATCGCTGCAGGCCACACAGAGAGCCAGGTGGGCACTGATGGGGCCTTGCCCGCAGAGGCCCTCAGTTCTGCCTGGCACGCGGGTGCCCAGGGAGGGTGGTCAGTGTCTAGGCGGTGCCACCCCGTCAGAACACCCTGTCCAAGAGGCGATTCTCCTTTCTGCCAGGGCTGCTCTTAGGGCGGCCCCTCTGAGGTCAGGACAGGGTCTCTCAAATTCTGTGTTCTTTTCAAGCGAGCGACGGAAACTGGCCAGCGCTGAAACAAAGCGTCAGCCCTGCTGCGAGAGTGACGCAGACCACCGGTGTGGGCCGGACGGACTCCAGCACAGAGGGCACGCTCCAACAGGGGACCGTCTCTAGCCAGCCTGTGCCCTTGTCAGCTCTGGGAGCCCCGGAGAAGCTGGTAGGCCGCTGTTGTGACCCCTGTGACACACGCCCCCAGCCACGTCCCTGTTCGCGCTCGTCTTCCTGGAGGGGAGGGGCGATGAGGCAGAGCACCCCCCTCGTGTCCAAACTAGACCCACTCGGAAGGCGCGAGTGGGCCCTAAGCACCAGGCAGTGTGCCAGCGCAAAGGCCTTTTGGTCAGGGCTGTCCTGTTGGGGACAGGTGACAGCCCTGCTGCTTTTTATCCCCAGTGTGCCCTGTGCCTGGTCACAAGCCAGTTTGAAGGGTGACAAGTCCTACTTTGCATTCTCTGTGACTGGATGGAAATATACTTAACTTTTCAAAGGATAACTTTATTTTTCTCCTTAATGTCTACATTTAGGGTCTCGAGATGGGTAAAATGCCGCCCCCACCTCCTGGTGTCAGCAAGCCACTGCCTCCAAGCTACGGGACGTACCCGAGTCCCACCCCCATGGGTCCAGGGTCAACAAACTCCTTGGAAAGGAGGAAGGAGAGCAGCTTGCCCAGGCCCAGCGCAGGCCTACCCGCTCGGCAGAAACCTGGCCCACTGCCCGCCGTGGGCAGCACCCACCAGCTGGGCTCCTCCCAGCAGATTCAGCAGAGGATTTCTGTGCCTCCAAGCCCCACGTACCCACCAGCGGGGCCACCCGCATTTCCGGCCGGAGATGGCAAACCTGAACTCCCGCTGACTGTGGCCATTAGGCCCTTTCTGGCTGATAAAGGGTCAAGGCCACAGTCCCCCAGGAAAGGACCCCAGACAGTGAATTCAAGTTCCATATACTCTGTGTACCTCCAGCAAGCCACACCGCCTAAGAATTACCAGCCAGCCGCGCACAGCGCCGTAAATAAGTCAGTTAAAGCAGGTACGGTGGGCTTGTGCTCTCCTCTTGGGGCCAGGAAGTTGAACTTTTACTTAAGAAAATGCCAGTCTGTGTCCTCACACGTGGGCCACACACTATCCAGGTTTAAACTGGATTCTTATGCAAGGTGTGGCCGCCGCAGTTGTCGTGGAGAGGGGTGGTGGAGGAGGGTACAGAGTGCCTGTGCCACTAGGCGGCTGCAGCTCTGATCTCCTGTCCACGCACCCAGGAGCTCCAGCTCCAGCTCCAGGCAGGGCTGGCCTTTGGAGCAGCCTCTTTCTGCTGCTTCATGGTGACTTGTGCAGGAGCTGGTGGGGGGCTCTGCCTGAACCTGCCATAGCTGAGCCAGACCCCTGATGACCATGCACAGGGGTGTCTGCTGCTTGGGCATCTCCACTGGAGCCCGCAAGGGAGAACAGCCCTGATTGGGTGAGGGAAATGGACCCTGGCGGCCAAGGTGCTCCAGGAAGGCAGGTCGGAGAACAGGGCCGGGTTCCGCACCTGCCGAGGTCAGCGGTGCTTCTGGCCCAGACAGTGGGGCCTGCCTGTCGGGTGTGGACTGGGCTTCCTCAGACACTCCCGGGCACTTGCCACAGCTTCCAGACTCCTAGTCCAGGGGTTCCTGCAGGTGCCTGGCCACCCAGTGCCTAGAAGCCCGTAGACTGGGCTCTGGCCCGTGCTGGAGAGCTGGAACCCTTCTCTAGAGCCCCTGGGCCACCAGGCGGACGCTGCTGTCTGACTCGGCCTGTGTTTCATACTGTTCCACTAGGTCCGAGGGTCAGGTCCATGTCCAGAGGGGACACTGTTTTCCTCGGCCAGAAAACAAGGAGGCTGGGTTTGGGGCAAGGGGCCCAGGTCCACGGCCTTTTCGAGTTTCCCTTTGTGGAAGCCCTGATTCGGGAAGCCCCAGTGCAGAAGCAGCGGAAGTAGACATCCATCTTCCCAAAGGGTCACTGAGGCTCCTCGGAGCAGAGGGCTTGTTTGGGGTGTAAGTCAGGGCTCACCAGCCAGGTCATCTCTCATGTCACCAGGAGTGCTCAGTGATGAGACCCCAGGACCAGCGGGGCGCTCACATTTCTGTCCTCTGTGTCCCTTGCAGTGTACGGAAAGCCCGTCTTACCGTCTGGCTCCACGTCCCCGTCCCCGCTGCCGTTTCTTCATGGTTCTCTTACCACAAGCTCATCACAGCCCCAGCCGCCCGCAGAAAGTGCTGAGAAGGAGCCTGAGCAGGACAGCCCGGCGCCCCCTGGGGATGGCACCGCGGGCACCATGGAGAGCCTGCCCCGTCCGCTCAGTCCCACCAAGCTCACGCCCATTGTGCACTCCCCCCTGCGCTACCAGAGTGACGCCGACCTGGAGGCTCTGCGCAGGAAGCTGGCCAACGCGCCCCGGCCCCTGAAGAAGCGCAGCTCCATCACGGAGCCCGAGGGCCCCAGTGGGCCCAACATCCAGAAGCTGCTCTACCAGCGCTTCAACACCCTGGCCGGTGGCATGGAGGGCACCCCCTTCTACCAGCCCAGCCCCTCACAGGACTTCACGGGCACGCTGGCCGACGTGGACAATGGGAATACCAGCGCCAACGGGAACCTGGGAGAAGCCAGCCCCGCCCAGCCCACGGTCCCCCTCCCCATTGAGTCTGCTCCCGCTTCAGATGCCAACGACAACCAGCTCCCGTCCCCTGAGCCAGAGGGGCTCACCTGTCCCCAGACCACCCGCCAAACAGCCGAGCCTGCCGAGGACGACAACAACAACGTGGCCACAGCCCCTTCCACGGAGCAGGTCCCCAGCCCTGGGCCGGAGACCCCATCCCCAGGGGAAGAGCAAGTCCCTCCTTCACTTCCCCCTGTCGTGCCCCGGCCGGCCGCTTCTACGGTGGGTGTGGTCCTCGGCGATGTCCACCCAGTGCCTGTGGAGGACCTGCCTGTGTTAGCCGTGTGCTGGGTGTGGGGGTCTTGGCAGACTGGTCCCCACCCTCATGCGTCAGGCCTAGAACAGTGCTTCACACCAAGGGGCTCTGAGGGGCAGTGCAGGGCTGCGAGGCTCAGGCTGCAGGGCTCAGCCAGGGAGCCCCGAGAAGGCTTTCCCGAGGAAGGGAAGCTGCTGCTGGAACCTGGGAGGAGTCAGTGAGGGGGAGAACCTTCTAGATAGAGGCCTGTGGTGGGAGGTCAGTGTTGATGGAGCAGAAAGGGGTTGGGAGTCCCTCACAACTGGTGGGGAAGAGCTGCCCATCTCGGGCTGGATGTAGTCACAAAGCCTGGATGTCGCCCACCTGGCTCCCTGCTCTCCCTGCTGCTCCAGAGGGGTGGGGGCTTCTGGCCCAGCCCTTCTCCGCATGGAGGGCTCTTGGGTGAGTCACCTTTAAATCAAAAGTCTGCTTCCTCTTTATAGAGCAAACGGACCAACCTGAAGAAGCCTAACTCAGAGCGCACAGGCCGGGGGCTGCGTGTCCGCTTCAGCCCACTGGCGCTGCTCCTGGACGCCTCCCTGGAAGGAGAGTTCGACTTGGTGCAGAGGATCATCTACGAGGTGAGCTGGGAGAAGCTGCCGCCCTGCACTCCCCCCAGCCCCCCATCTGCAGGGCGGGGCTCACACACCCTTGTTCCCAGGTGGAAGACCCCAGCAAGCCCAATGACGAAGGGATCACCCCCCTGCACAATGCCGTTTGCGCTGGCCACCACCACATCGTGAGGTTCCTGCTGGACTTCGGTGTCAACGTGAACGCCGCGGACAGTGATGGCTGGTGAGCCCCACCCACTGTGCAGAAGGGAAATGCAGAGTCTAGACCACAGGACACAGCTGTGGTTTGCTCTGGTGGCCAACTGTTAACATGGTAGAGTAGTAGAGTGTGCTGCGGCCACAACTGATGGCTGTTTGTAAACAGCTGGGTCATCCGTGGTTGGCATTAGGCCTGTGTGGGCCACTGCGGGGTCCTGTGCTCCTGTGTAGGCTGTGGCCACCTGGAGGGGCTATTGCCAACTTCAGGCAGCTGTCTGCTCTGCTGTGTTGGAACACCTGGGTCTCTCGCTGGTAAAATGCTCGTAACTCTTACCATCAGCCACTGGAAGGTGCGCATCAGCAGTGGGCAGTCCCTTCACACTGCAGTGCTGTGAGCGCCTGCTTTACGGGCCCTTCCGCAGGCCACACCACGCCCACCTCAGGAGCTTACAGGAGCTCAGGACAGTTCGTTAGTGGAAGTCACACCCATAGCGAGACAACCTTCCGCCCCTTGCAGGACACCGCTGCACTGCGCCGCCTCCTGCAACAGTGTCCACCTCTGCAAACAGCTGGTAGAGAGCGGTGCTGCCATCTTTGCCTCGACCATCAGCGACATTGAGACTGCCGCGGACAAATGCGAGGAGATGGAGGAGGGCTACATCCAGTGTTCCCAGTTCCTGTACGGTACGTGGGCCCTGGGCCTCCCAGCTGCAGTGTGACGTGAACCGCACTGCAGCTGGGCTGGGCCGGGCCGGGCCGGGCGTGCCCGAGCCTAACTTCACGGGCATCCCAGTCGGTCAGGCAGATGAGGTTGCACTGTCCTCAGGCACCTTCCTGAGGCAGCGAGTCTGAAAACCCGAGTTGGCAGAAGCCCCTTCCCTGTCTCTGTGCAGAGGCTGCCCCTCTGGGCCTCAGAGCAGGGTGCACAGGCGGCAGGCAGCGCCATCCACATGCCTCCCCTGGGAGGCTCCCAGGATCTTCGGCGGGGGCCAAGGGCGTCCAGGGTCAGGCCAGGGTGGTGACCATCGTGAATGGGGTCCATCAGGTCTTAGCGAGGCTGCTGCAGTCGGCTCAGCCACTTGGGGGCTGGAGCGGCTGTCTGGGCTGAGACTGTTACCCCACACAGGGCAGGAACCTGTGCGCCCGGCCCTCAGGTTAGACCCCAGAACAGGCACCGCCCCTCGGCTCCAGCTGTGAGCACAGAGGCGGCAGAAGCTTGGGGAGGCCTGTGTGGGGGGCAGTGGCTGCCACATCAGGAGAGGGGCAGTACCCGGGTCACCAGCATGTCTGGCCTTCCATGGAATTCCCACAGTGGCCCCCGGGTGTGGACTGACCTTTTTACTGCCGTGCATGGGCGCTCCCTGCCCTCTGGGAGCCACTTCTCTCGTCGCTGGCTGGGGGAAGTTTGTTCTAGGTGGGGGCTGTTTCACCCTCAGAAGTGCCTTTGGGAACAATGTCCCTTTGCCTCTGGACTCAGAACCTCAGTGTCAGTGCTGTCCTGCTGGGCCTGGCTTCCAGCCTCTCGGCCCTCAGTCTCGTTGGGCCGCCAGAACACAGCAGCATGTCGGTCTGGTCGCACCGTGGGGCTCTCGTCAGTCGCACCCCTGGAGACCTGACCGTGCACTGTCTCGCCCCAGGGGTGCAGGAGAAGCTGGGCGTGATGAACAAGGGCGTGGTGTATGCTCTCTGGGACTACGAGGCCCAGAACAGTGACGAGCTGTCCTTCCACGAAGGAGACGCCATCACCATCCTGAGGCGCAAGGACGAAAATGAAACCGAGTGGTGGTGGGCTCGGCTGGGGGACCGAGAGGGTTACGTGCCCAAAAACCTGCTGGGGGTGAGTACCCTTTCTCGCTCTCCCGGATCTGAGTCTGCTGCTGCTTCACTCCTGCCTCTGCACCCCCAATCAGCACCCCAGGCAGTGTGGGGCCACATCCTACTGGGGGGCCTGGGCAGGGGACCGCCCTGCTCCGCGCTTCTGCAGATTTGTGTGTTTGCTGAGTTGGCTGCAGTCCCTGGCTGCTGTCTTGCCCCAGTCACAACGCTCTGAAGCCCAGAAGTGTCTTTGGGCGGGGAGGGGTGTGGGTCTGGGCCCACACCAGTCCTGCAGCCGCCACTGCCTCGGCGAGGCTGGCAAAGCCGTCACTCCAGAAATGCGAACACCGTACCTGGCCAGGCACCTGCCTGGGGGGACAGACTGTGACAAGCGCTGTACAGGTGGCACCTAGTGCTGAGAGAGGAAGGGGTGCGGGCTGGGGTGAGGGTGTTGCAGCTGTTAAGGAGTCAGGGCAGGTCTTGGGTGGACAGTGCGCTGGCACCAGGGTGCTCAGTGTGTCCTCTCCTCGTCCTAACTCGTTCTCCTGGCTTCCCAGCTATATCCACGGATCAAACCCCGACAGCGAACGCTCGCCTGAGCCTCCCGTTGGCGCACCGCAGGGCCGGCCGTTGCAGAGGAGCCACTGCCGGGGAGGCAGGGGCTGCAGGGGCTCCCGTGGTGTTCATGGCAGCAGACGGCCCCACACTGTGAAGCCCTGCAGGCTCTAGATGAGGCTGGGTCTGCACGGTCACTTCCAAGGACCGAATTTCTCCAGTTACTGTAAATCCAAATAAATGCCCAGCTTTCTAAACTGTCCCCGCTGCCAGTAGAAGCCCTGGAGTTAACCCCTGGTTGGTTGCCAATGAAGACTCGTCCCATGGCTGCCCCTCTTTCTCCACATCACTTGCCCAATAGTGAGACTGTGCAGCTGCCCTGGGGTCACCCCCCCACAGGAACCCTGCCGTCTGTTACTGCACGTCACAGAAACCTGCCGTCCTGTCCCCTCCCCACCCAAGTTTCTCCCTTCCATTGCCAGAGGCCTGTAGGGAAACTCCTGTCCAGTGGTGGTCCTGGTGCAGGGGCTCCACTTCCTGTTCCGGCTGGTGGTGCTGGGCTGGACTTCCACGTCCCTGGGCACGAGAGCCCTTAGGACCAAGCGACCTCTAGCCAGGAGCCTCAGCACAGCACTGTTCCCTCCTGTGCTCACAGCTGCCTTCTCTGCTGCCCCCGCGATTCTCAACCAGGTACAGGGCCGACCCTGTCCCGAGCGCAGGCAGACCCTGTGGCCCACGGGCATTCGGGGTGGTGCAGACGTGGGGGCTCCTGCTGCACGTCAGGAGGGGCAGCTGTGGGGCACAAGGGTGGGGCTCAGCCTCCCCAGCCTGGGCCAGGTGGGATGCAGTGACCTCTGACTCCGTTCCGTACTCAGAGTAAGGAAGGCCCCCTGACGTTGGTTGTACGTATGGGCTTTTATACACCAGAAGTATTTCTGACTAGGCCACTTGAGACAACCAGATGACATTGGAGGTGACTCTTCTCATTCATGTCCAGGCCTGTAGGCTGTTTCCCACATACGTGTCTGTGCACTTAGTGTAAGTGTGTGTGTGGAGCTGCCGCTGCAGTCGGCTCCCTCCAGCACTGACTGCACACGTGACGGCGGGAGTGCGCGCAGTAAACCGCTGCCTCCCACCGCGGCCCCGACCAAGTGTGTGTTCTGCAGCAGGGACACCAGTGGTCTGGACACAGGGAGGCGAGGCCTGATTCGTGTTTTCAAAATAGGTTTTACTCAAGCTGTATATACAAACTGTTGTACAAGTATTTTAATAAAGTGAATGGTAAGTGAAAAATAGCAACCACAAAGCTGGCTGCTTCCCCGGTGGGATGGTGACGTATCAAAGGTTTGTCCATGGCCCCGAAGTAGTGCCGTGGGAACAAGTTGGTGGCCCGGGCTGGGCCAGCTGCAGAGCAGATGCCCCCTGTGGACGGTTAGTGAGATGGGGGCCAGAACCTGCTAGTAAACCTGGCACTCACAGAAACATGGTAGAGGTTATGCTAAAAACAGTTCAGCAGTAGTGTAGCCGGGTCTCTCCCACCCCAATTAAGTGTCAACAAGAAAAGACAGGTTTTTAAAGCGGGAAGCTGTTCGGAGCGTTAATAAACTGTACGTATTGCACTAGGTGAGCGAACAGGTTTTCTCCAACGTCGCACTGTCTTCCCAGCACGTGGGGCGTCGGGGAGCACGGAGGTGGCTCTGCCATTCTGAGCAGACGGGCCAGCCCGCGTGCAGTTACTGGTCCCGAGACTCGTAGAGGAGCTTGGTGGCCTGCAGGGTAACCAGAAACAGAGAAATGCAGTTGGCCCTGTGCCCCGTTGGAGCTGAGGGGGACATCCCCCTAGCTGGGTGGGAGGCAGGGCTCACCCTGGGGAAGGCGGGCCTGCTCTCAGCCGGAGGGTCCAGCCTCCTGCCTACTCAGGAGCCTCAGTACCTTGTGCATGGCCGCCAGCCACGCCATGGACTGTCCCCTGCTGGCATTTGCGTCTTCCCCTGCGGTCAGCTTCAGCTGCGTCATGCCCTCTGACCCTGGTGTTGAGTACTGCAGGGACATGCCTGTGGCCCGAGTGTTGCCTCCTGAGGAAGAAAAGGGGTAAACAGGCTCAGCGGCCACCAGCCCGGGTGTGGGGGCAGGGCCCGTGCTCCGGAGCCACCCAGTGAACATGAGCTCATCGGGCCTCCTGGTAGATGCCCAACAGCAAGTTCACAGGATGGGAAAGGCAGTCTCCTGGCCTGGGGGCCCTGGAACAAACAAGTCACGTTATGCCACCAAGAGCCAAGAGAGAAAGGCGGCTGCACCTCCTGGGCATGGGGTTCCCACCCCCAGAAAGGCCACCAAGGCGGCTCTGGACTCCAGCCCCACCTGCACGCACCTGGGCAGAGGCCAGGCGGTCACTGCCACCTACACCGAGAACCAAGGGCACAGCCGAGGGGCCTAACCATGCACGCAGGAGGCTTAGCACCACAGAAGAAGTGCCACCATCCAGGTCACCAACCCAGGGGGCTGGCCGTCAACGCAGACACTCAGCTCCCACCAAGGTGCCACATGGGGGCTGGGCCTGCTGGGACACCGCCCATCTCAGCCGGGACCCGGTGCTCAATGACGGCACACTTCCAACACTGGTTCTAAGAGCCCCTGCTCAGGTCAGAGGGCAGCAGTGGTCAGGAAAGCCTCGTGGAGAGCAGGTCCACATGTTGGCTTGGTGACAGGAGGACATTGTGAGCAGGAATCACTTGGTGCCACAGACCAGTGGGGGGAGCACACTCTGGCTGAGGCCTGCCCAACGCGAAGCCACCACAACTGTGAAGTACCGTCCCCTGGGCCCTCCTGAACTCCCAGCCCCAGCCTCACTGCTGCCTCCGTCAAGCTGGCTTGTCCCTGACTGGGCTCCATGCAGGAGTTGCCCATGCTCTGCCCACTCGTAAGGTTTACTGACACATGGCTTGTCTCCTCCCACCGCTTCCACACTTGCAACAGCCCATCTGGCCAGCGAAGTCGAATACAGTTAGTACCTGGCCCTCGACGGGCCAGTGGGCCACTCCCCTGGCTGTCTTCAGCTCAGGGAACTGTTTCTGCGCCCCAACCCCATGGGGATTTCGTGGTGGGGTTTACGGTTCTATGAAAATTTTTGGCAGAACACGGCCCACCGGGCTCCCTAAAGCACCACGAGGGGCTGTGGGACGCTAGAAGCTCCTGCCCAGGGTCCTGCCAGGAAAAGAGCGGAGGCTTCTAGAGGCCGGCCAGGGGGGTGACCTGGCCACCTCCCTGGCCTCGGGCTCCAAGGGGGCAGGCAGAGGGCCACCTGGGCTGACCCCAGCCTCTGCATCAGGGCCTCTCCAACTGCCAGCCTGCACGGGCAGTTGAGGGGACAGAGATGCCAGAATGCTGGCCTGGCCGGCTGCCACCCCTAGGCAGTTGGGGAGCCCCAGAGGCCGCAGATCTGGAGGAGTGCGGGGCGCGGCCTCAGGGCGGGAGCATGCTGTGAGGGCCACCTATGCCCTGCTCCCTGACACCCCGGGCTTGCTGCTTGGAGACAGCAGCACAGAGAAGACACTGCCCCTTCGGTCAGTGACATGACAAACCCGTCTTCCACTGGGGTCTCCTCTCACATTGGATGCCTGCGTCTCAGACCCAGTCCTCTCAAACCAACCCAAAGTCCCCTGGTGGGAACCCCCCACCCCTAGCAGAAGCCGAGAAGGGGGTGCAGGGCCCACAGCATGCTGCAAAGAGCGAGGCTGACCTTCGGAGGTGGGCAGGCTCCCCAGGAGGCTGGTGTGAGAGTGAGTGTCCTCTAGTCAGGAAGGCAGGCGGGCAGGAGAAAAGGACAGTCAAAGCCCATCAGAAACCAGGAGGCAAGACAGGTAAGTCCCGTGGGTTTCCCGTGGAAGGACGGCCACAGAGGCACAGAAGTTTAGTTGGAAAGATGCACGCTGGGCTCAGAGCTCTGGAAGCTGGCACAGGCCCCTGACCGGGGCTGGGAGGGCCTCCCAGCTACACTCCAGCCCCTTCGGCAGCCCCAGGGGTGCCAGCCGCACATGGGAGAGCCCCTGTACGACCTGTGCAGGTGAACCTTCCTCAGTGTATGTACATGTAAGGTCCCCTGTCCAGCTGGCGAGCTCCTAAAGCCACGTAGCGCAGCCAGCCCACCGAGGATGACAGGCCAAGCACCCTGCCCAGGGGGGCCGGCTCCTGGCCTCCTGTTCAGTCCAGGGCAGGGGCGCTCACCTGCAGGTGGGGAGCCTTCCGCAAAGGTCTGCACAGTTGAGATGTGAGCGATCTCGATCTCGTGGTGGCCATCTCCGTCCAGCAGCAGGAACCTGTCAGACAGAGGCGCCCGTGCACATTACCCGCAGACCCCAGGGGATAAGCTGCCGGGGCCAGGCGGACTTGGCCTCTTACCTCTGGTTGCTGGAGAGACGACAAACCATCGTTTCTGACTTCTCTGAGTTTCCAAATGTCACCAGGAAGGTGGCTCCTTGGGGCACAAGCACCAGCATGAGAACACAGCCCACTCCTTCCCCAGTCGCTGCTCCCGCCTGGCCCAGAGCAAGGGGCGTGACAGCGGGCTCCAGGGCCCCTCACTGGGGTGGGAGGGCCCCGTGTCAGAGGCTCGCCTTGGAAGTACCAGTCACCAGGTACTTCAGAGAAAGGCGCAGGGGGCACCATCCCAGAGGCCTGGCTCAGAGTGCCGACCTTGCACCCACGCACTGCAGGACGGCCAGGCCGAGACCCGAGTATAGGGGCGGGCACACACCCACCCTCCGCCAGGAGGAACTGCAGGCCAGGAAGGCCAGCTGCCCAGGGCCCCGGGACCCCATGCAGGCCTGCGGGTCCCCACTCAGTGGACGTCCAAGCTAGTGGCCCCACACCTGCTCCTGCAGTTGCCCAGGAGGTGGAGGGAGAGCCAGTCTCATGGAGAGATGGCCACAGACACAGCTGGCCAGGGCCTGCATCACCGCCGCCCAGCAGGCCGCTTACCATTCTGCAGCACTCGGAGCTGCTTGTCGTAGAACTCAGCCTCCTTGCGGGACACCAGGGCACAGGCAGCGCACTGCCGCACGGGGTCCACGAAGCACATGCGCGGCAACGCCACCTTCTGGCCGCAGCACTTGTCGCAGAAGCACTTCCCACAGCGGCGGCAGTGGTGCTGGGGGGCGGGCAGGCAGTGAGCGGGGGGACACACGCACACCTCTCCACAGGGGCCTGGGGCCTGCTGCTGGGGGCCAGGATGCCCACCTCTGCACGGCAACCCAGCCTTGCTCAAAGCAGGACGCCCCCAGGGCACTGACCGGCCAGCACCCGGCAGGGTCGTGGGTGCCCAGGCTGCCCTCTGGCTCCTGAGCGCTTAGGCCCCCGGAAGAGTGGGTGTCCTTCTGGGCCCTCCCGCCGACGGCCTCAGCTCACCTTTCTGGTGAGAAAGTCAAACTTGGCATCGCACTGCATACATCTTGGGCACTAGAAGAGAGGGTCAAGCGTCAGAACCCACACTGCAGATGCTGGCCTTCGGGCCAGCGGCCCTGCTCCTAGTGGGCCCACGCTGGAGTCCAAGGGAGCCGATGGGCGTGCGCCCCCTGCGGGCGGCTGGCGGGGCGACCTGGCGGAAGGACAGCTGTCAGGCTGGGCCTCGTCAGGCCTCGCCCCACAGTCCAGCACCAGGCACCCAGTCTGAGCTTCGCAAGGTACCGTGACCCATGTCCTATCCTTTCTCTGCTCCTCGGCTGCTCAGTTCTGAACGTGGGCCGGGGTCTGGCCCTCCCGGCCCCTCCAGAACCACCTGCGGCGTCCCCACCAGCCTCAGGCACAGCTGCTGCCGCCCTCCTTCAAGGCTGCAGTGTGACAAAGGACGCCCTCCCACTGGCCGGTCCCCAGTTCCCACACTAGACCGTTTCTTAGGTTCCTCAAAATTAAATGTCCTAAGTCATAAAAGTTAGTTTTTTTAAATACGTGGGTTGATATATCTTTACTGAAAAACAGTTATTTTTAAAGAGTAAAAGCACGACTCTGAAAAACACAAAATGAGACTTTGCTCCCGAGTAATCACTGAGGAGCCCACTGGGGTGTCGGAAACCCAGCCCCCCGGGACCTGGCAGCGTCCGGGTCAGTGTCTGTGTCAGTCAGCTCTTCACCAAGTGCAGGCACCACACGGCTCGGAGCACAGCAGCGGCAGACCCTGGAGACCACCACATCCCAGGAACTCGGTGGGGACCCCAGGCCCCTGCTGTGACCTCTCGGCAGCAGCTCCTGGGCAGCAGAGGACTGTGGGGCCCCTCAGGATGTGAACTCGCCTGTGATCTGAGATCCCCCTTTAGTGTTCTGGGAAGTGTGCTTTAAAGAACCCCCTTTCCGCGTGACTTGGGTGAGACTCGTAGATGCCACTCTGCACCTAGGACAGGGCCAGACAGACTCCCCCTCTCTGCCTGGCTGTGCTGAGTCCCCAGGCACCCGGCTCACCAGGCTCCAGTTAGCTCCTGGCTCCATGCCCCTGAGCTGTGACCACCTTGGCCCGAGATGCTGACCTGGGTGGGGACCATGCAGGCCCTGATCCGCTGTCAGGGCACCCCCACTCACTCTCCTGTGTGTGACCTTGGAGCCCTTGCAGGTCAGGGAGGCAGTGCCCCCCCTCCCTGCAGCGGTGGGCACCACCCCCCACCTGGCCCCTGCAAGGAGCCTGGGAAATGAAACCCACCCTGTCGTCTGGATTTGCTGTTTATGATGCACTTGCACACTCTTCCCCCAGCTCTGCACCGCCCTGTCGTTGTGGGAGATGCCCAGTGTGGAGAACAGGAAGAAAAGGGGCGCACAGCTGCGTGGGTAGGTTTTGAGGACAACAGTGTTTTGGCTGCTTGTGTCCAGTCCTCAGGGCACGTGTGCAGACAGCGGCCCCGTGGCTGCTTTGATGTCGGTCTATCTCACAGCCCCCAGAGCATTCCCAGGCTCCTTCTGCCCAGGCACGTGCCCTGACCAGGAATCGAACTGGCGGCCTCCCTGCTGCACAAGCGCCTATGGGGACAGACCACATACCCCTCTGGGCACACACTAGAGAAGTGACCCCCAGTGCCTTCCGGCGAGGGAGCACCTCAAGCTGAAAGCTGTTGAGACAGGACAGTAAGAAGCCGGGAAAATTTGGGGGCGAGTGGAACAGGAAACAGACAAGAAAATTAAACAGCCAACAGCCTGAGCAACGGACAGCCAGCTGGGGAACCATGAGACCTCATCTGCCCTGACCGGGGACACTGAGAGCAAATGGTTGACGCCTCTCCCCCTGACCACGGAACACACAGCCTCCCTGGCCATGAGCCACAGTGTCTGGGAAGAAAAGGACACCGATGCACAGGACTGGTGCGCAGCCGGAACCGGGCCGCCTGACCCCCTGTCAGGCCCCCTCCCCAAACTCCCCAGAGAAACAGCACTTCCGTACTCCCCTGGGGGTGTATGTCCCCTGCAAATCCCCGAGTTTCCTCTATGCAACTTGCTTCTGAAGGCTCGAGGGAGGGTGGGCGTCAAGTTTTCCCTGAGAGACCGCTGCCTTCTCAGACTGCTGGTCCCTCAGATTAATAAAAGCGCAGTTAGAATCTGGTCCCCACCCTGGCTGGGGTGGCTCAGTGGATTGAGCGCCGGCCTGCAAACCAGAGTCACTGGTTTGATTGGAGGTCAGGGCACCGCCTGGGGGTTGCAGGCCAGGTCCTCAGTGGGGGGCGCACAAGAGGCAACCACACATTGATGTTTCCCTCTCTTTCTTCCTCTGTCTCTAAAAATAAATAAATAAAATCTTAAAAAAGAAAATTTAGTCCCTGTCTCGGTTTTTCATCTGAGGTGACAGGCAGCAGGGCCCTGCAGTTGGTTACCCTACAGTTTCACTCTGGATTCATGCAGACACACCCCCAAAATTCCCAACACTTTCAGGGATGTCCCCATGGGCCCAAGCCAATGACCTGGCCCAGGGTCAGATGCCTTGTGGCACACCTGGCCCCGGACTGGCCCAGGAAGGCAGAGCCATGTGACAAATGGGGGAGCGAGCGTGAAGCTCTGACAGGGACACTGGTCTGTGCCCCTCCTGCCACCTAACCCCACCGCCCAGTCCGCACCACCACAGACAATCGACTTCTCCCGAGTGGGCGTCTCCATGCGGGGCCCTCTCCCCGCACACCTGGCCCTGACGTCCCCCAAACACTGAAGAAGCGCGGAGGACGTCGGGTGTGTGCAGCTGGGCGCGAGGGCGGGGCGGGCACGCAGCACGTGCCCCACAGCCCCCTCTCTGGAAGGGCCCCCATCCTTCCTTCAGACGGGAGTGAAACTCTGGGGGGGAGGGGCGCACCACACTGATCCAAGGACTTCAACCCAACAAACAGTTTCGCAAGAGTTCTCCAGACAGACCGGGCAGGACTCCAGCCACGCCTCGCCCCAGCGACGACTTCCACCAGGAAGGCAGGGACCCAGCAGGGCGGGCGGAAGGAGTGAGCGCAGTCAGCGCTGGGACCCTCACGGGGGACCCGCACTCCCACACAAACGCAAGGACCCGCAGTCTGGAGAGGCTCCTGGGGGTTGGGGGCTGAGAATACGCCAACACACTGGCCTAGCCTGTAGGACACGCCCCCGGTGACGCCCATCTGTCCCTGCTGAGGTTGCAGCCCCTCCCCCACGGTGGAAGAGACCAGTTGGCCTCCATCTGCACAGTCACTCACCGGCCTCCGCCCACGGCACTTGGTGGTATTTTGATAAGTGACATCTGCCCGCTCCCTCCCTGTGGCTGTCAGGTGAACTCTAGGACATGTACTCATGACAACAGAGTCACGTTTGCCATTTTTCCCTTTAATTGTCCTTTACCAGCGCGAACCAGGCAGGCATTCGAGGAAAGGCACGTTCTGTGAGTTCAGAGCACAGGTGCCAGGGGCAGAAACGCAGGCAAGAAAGGGCACACCAGGGTGACCAGGAAGCCAGTGGCCTGGCTGGGTCAGTGACCACTCACTCCCCATCATCACCCTGGTGGCCTGGAGTCGCTCCCCTCCTCCCTGTGCACTGGCCTCTCAACTCTGAAAACAGCAACTGCCACCTACTACCAGGACTTCAGGCAGCAAGAGAGAGGGAGGGAGGTGACCTGAGGCAGCCCTGCCCCCACCAGCTGCCCCCACTTTACCGCCCGCTGCTTTAAAAGCACCTGATTTCATTCCTCTGCAGAAAGCCCTCGAGACCGCTCCAAGGTCTCCTCCCTCTGATGGTTTCAATCACGTGTGGGATGATAAACAGCAAGCAACTCGGAAAGACGCACACACAGAACTCCTCAATACCAGCACATCGGGGTGGGTGCGGCCAGAGAGGGTACAGGGGGTCAAATTCACGTGGGGATGCAGAAAGGGGACTAGACTTTGGAGGTGAGCACGCAGTGGCTTAGGGAGAGTCCTCTTACACAGCTGTACGCGGGAATGTACACAACGTTCTCAACCGATGCTACCCCAACACCTTTAACTTGAAAAAGCCAAGGCACTTTGATGTCTCCTGGCCACGTCTGATTTACAGGAACGCGTCCGGTCCTTCTGCCCGCAACCCTCTGCCCGGCCTCATCGCTGGCAGATGACTGGCAGATGGGCTAGTGTCCAAACCCCTGGCGCCACACACGCCAAAGGGCCTTCGGAAGGTGCCGCACCCACCCGCCAGCAGGGCAGCTCCAGGCTCCCCGCCCAAAGCCCTGCAGCCGCCGAGCAGGCGCAGCTCTCCGGGCACGACGCGCTCCTGCTCCCCAGCTGGAGACTGGGCGCAAACGCCCCTCGCGCCCCGCGCCCCGCCAGAGAAATACTTCAGGGCTCCACTCCCCGGGGGTAAGGGGCTGCAACTGGGCTTCCATCGTCCCACCCCAGAAGCTCAACCGACGTCGTGGAATTCACAGATGACCTCCGGTGGGCAAAGCCCGGGACACATCAGGAAAGGAGGGCCGTATGAGGGACACCGAAACTTCACGGCGGGGGCAGGGGGGAAGGGGACTCTGAGCGTCCCGACAGAGAGAACCAGGCAGAAGACGGAGTGCCCAAGGCCCGGGGAGGGGTGGAGCGCGCGGTCAGCGGAGCGCAGGGGCCACCCAGGGGCGCGAGGCAGTGTGCCCGAGTGCGGCCCCGAGGGAACAGGGAGGGCGGCAGGGGCCAGAGGAGGGGCGTCCAGGAGACGAGGCGGGCGCGGGGAACGTCTGAGGTGTGCACACTGGGATCCGAGGTGAGGACTGCGGCGCGGGGACGCGGACGGGGCTCTGAGGCGCGGACTCCAGTCCAGCATGCGGACCCGGGTCTGGGGCGCCCAGACGCGGACAGGGGGCTGGCGGGCGGCCGTGACCTACCTCTTTGTCCGGGACCCACGGCGGCTCCTCCAGACCGAATGGACTGCCGAAGGCGCGGTGCTCGGGCACCATGCGCAGGCCGCTGGGTGAACGCACCAGCTTCTTGGCATCGCGGCGGGCGGCCACCTCGGAGGACATGACGCCGCCGCAGCGCTCGCCCACCGCTCTCACTCGGCCCTCGCCCCTCCAATAGCCCCGCCCCGACCGCGTGGCTGACAGCTCCGGCTTCCAATAGGCACGTCCGTACTGGAGCTCAGACCAATGGGAGTCCTGAATACGCCCTGTGGTTGCGCTGTCCAATCTGCGCACGGGCACCTCCCCTACCACCCTACAGTCAGTCACCAATCGTCAGTGAGGGCCGGCCCAGGCACGCTCCGCCTCTGTCAAGACTATTGAGACTTTGGATTGGCCAGTCTGACTTTGACGTAACGATGCTTCCTCTCTGATTGGAGTAGCCTGCGCGGGGGCGCCTGGCGCTCATTGGAAGAGGAGGCTGCAAGGCGGGACGGCGCGAACCTTGGAGCACGCGCCAGGTAGGAGCCGCTGGCCTGCCGGACGGAGGTGGGCCGCGGCTCGTGGGGGGCGGGGGGCGAAGCCCGGAGAACGGCAGAGGGACAGCTGGGCACCGGCCCGGCGGGGCCCCGGCGGTGGGAAGGAGCCCAGGCTGGCGCGGCAGGACTCGCGAGCGGGGAGAAGGCTGTTGTCGGCTCTGTCATCCAGCAAGGGTGAGGGAAGCCGCCCGCCGCAGTCCCGACCTGTTCAGGACGGCAGCCCGGGGGCTGCGGGGGGCAAGTGCGCCCGGATCGTGCGAGGCCGGGGTGTTGTAGAGGAGACAGGCGGGGTCGAGGTGGTGGGTGGACAACCACGGAGACGGACTGCGCCGTGAGAAGGGCAGGTGTGTGGTGGGAAGGTGGGCGCGCAGCGCTGCGCGGCCGGTCCCGGAAGCCCAGGCCAGTCACCCGGATCAGGGGAGCCTCTGGGGGAGGGTGTGCTCAGAGCTATGGGACTAGAGGGATTGGGGACTGAAGGGGAACGGAGAGGACGGACGGGGCGGCCACCCGGGTCGCTGGTGAAAGCGCCCTTCCAGCAGCCGCAGGGTGAAAGAGCCCCCACCCCTCGCCCCGCTCCCTCGCGCCAGTCTGGAGAGGGGGCCGCTCCCAGCAGGGCTGCACACCCTGGGCAGGGTGGCCTGGATGGCTAGGTTTTGCTGAGTCTGGGATGAGCAGCCCCGCTGGACTGCTCACAAGCAGGCCAGGAAAGCTGGGGGCAGGCCGATACTGGTCACATGCTTAGGACATGCAGCTATGCCCTGAACAGCCGACCCTGGAGTCCCCCATCCCCCTGCTTCAGGTGGAACATGGGACCAGCCTGCTAGCCTGGAAATGCCCTGTCTGGGGCTCCGGAGGCTCGTGCCGGGGCAGGAGGCCCGCACTCCGAGTCCCAGCTTCCTCCTGCCCTGCAGCTGCCTCCCAGGTGTCAGCCCAAGCGGCCCCAGCTCATGCCATTGGTCCCCGGGCCAGCTCTGTGGCTCCCTGACTGGGCTGTGCGTGTGTGTGTGGCCCAGTCCCAGAAGCTTCAAAATCCAACCTAATGTCCAAGTCAGTGCAGTGCCAGACTGTGTAGCCGCCCCCACCCGCAGTGCTGGGACCTGGTGAGCCAGCGGGAGCCCCTGCCATACTGGCAGACAGAGCCCACCGCTTTGGCCTGAATGGCACTGGCCTTGGCGTCCGCACACATCCTGCTGTTTTGGGGGCCTCAGGAGGAAGACAGAGAGGCTAGCAGGAGAGCTCCCTGGGGATCTCGGGCTGTGTGTGTGGCAGCCCCGAGGCTGGGCTTCCGTTGCCCTTCTGGGAGGCGGCCACCCTCGTGCTGGCCAGACACAGTCTGCATGATCCTGCTTGGTGGGACCGAGTCCCCGAGCATCCTGTGAGGCCCCAAACACACTCTGTCCAGGTTCCCCACAGAGACACGTGGGAGGAGAATTAAAGTGGAGGGTGCGGAGACACTGCACCTGCGCCCAGTGCCATGGGTCCCCGCCCCGCGGCCCGAAGGGGTGGGGGGCTGGGCTCTCTCCCAGCCCCCGAACAGCGGCCCTGACTGTAGCCTTACCCCAGGGGTGTCCCTGCAGAGTGAAGCAGACCTGGGACGCTCACCTGGCCGCCACCACTGCCCCTCGTGCCTCCCTGGCGGTCGGAGTGGAGTTTGTGTCCCTGGAAGTTGTTCGTCTTTGTGGCCCCCGAAGAGATGGATTTGGATCACTTGGAGCTGAACCCCAGAATTGTCGCCGCGATGAGGAAAGGTACGCTCGTGTGTGTGAAGTGTGGGCGTGCAGGGCCGACTGGAGCAGGTTTACAGCTGAGTTTGCGCATCGACTCCTGTGTCATCGCTAATTATCGTCCTGCTCGTCTGTGTTACGATTGCGAACCTGCCTTTGCCCACCGCATGTGAGCTTTGTGTGAACAGGCACCGTGGTGGACCTGGCCCGCCCGCCCCCGGCCCTCCCCTCGCACTCTTCCCAGGGGACTGCGTGGGATCAGGCGCCGGTGCTGGAACACGGGCTTTCTGGGCTTGTGTGTGTGTTTAACTGAAAGCACTTTCTGAAAGTTCATTTTATTGTCATCGAAGCAGCAAGCATGTCATGAGTCTTTAGTGGTTTGGTATTTACCTCCGGGCCCCGAAGGCCGAGCCCACGACCCCTGGCCAGCGGTGGGGGCAGTAGTCACACAGACGTCCTGCAGGTGATGCAGGCGGGCGCCCCACTGCCTCCCAGCTGGCACAGCCTGGTCCCACCAGCTTGAAGGACTGAGCATGGGGACAGAAGGGCCACCACAGAACCAGGGGCGGGAACGACTGTGTGCTTTCTTGTACCGTCTTTAGTTTTTCCGTCAAAGTTAGTAGCTGCCCCCTTTCCTCACGCGCTGCACCCCCCGTGCCCCTCCCACTGCACCTGCACCCCTTCCTGTGGGTCCCGCAGGCGCAGGCTCCTTCCCAAATGCTCCAGGGGGCGCAGGGCTCGCCAACCTGTCTGTCCTGGGCGAGCACCCCCAGCTCTGCCCGTGGCATCTTGGGACCCCTTTCACGCCCCGCCTCCGTCGTCTCTGTTGGGGACGCTGGACAATCGCCTAGTAGGGAGCCCACGTGGGCTGGGGGTCTGGCCACCACGGAGCTTGTGCCCTGCGAGGGGCAGGCCCCCAGTGCTGCACCCCCGTGACCTGGTTTTGGGGAGAGCACGTTGGCAGCTCTGCCTTCCCTTCTGCGCAGCCCGACCCTGCGGGTCCTGACAGGAGCGCTCAGGGTGAGTTCGAGGTGGTTCCTGATACGTTTGGGCCAGTGCTCCCTGTGCTCTTTGTCCCGTTTCAATTTTGTTTTCTTTCTGCTTCCTCCCGGTTGGCTGGGTATATTTTAGTGTATTTCTCATTCTTTCATTTCTTTAAGTCCTCACCTGAGGATGTGTTTACTGATGTGAGAAATACCCACCGGTTGCCACCTGCACACCCGGACCGGGCCTGACCCTGCAACCTTTCAGTGCACAGGACGCGCACCGCTGTGCCCGAGGCCAGCGCTCTCTCTCTTTCCATGAGTCTGCATTGACCTGAGCCCAATGCAGCTTGTTCACTGGACCCCCGAGTGACCAGACCCTTTGGACAGGTCACCCCAAAGCCCTCCCCACCCTGCGGGGGCCCACTGACACCCTGGCACCCGTGTGCCGTGTTCCTCGTGCCCCCCACTACCCATCCCTGCCACCCACCACACCCACAGCCGCCCTGGCCGACGGCACAAGGGCGTCTGTGGGGACCGGGCAGCCTTCCTTCCGGCGCCACCCCTCAGGTGTGGCTTCCTGGTGGCAACTGGGTGGCAGCTGCCTCGGGGGAGGGGGGCAGCCCCCGGGCCCTTCCCTCTGGTCCCTTCTCTGTCACATAGCAACACAGCGCCCAGGACTCACGGCTCGGCGAGCAGGTGCATCGGGCTCCTGCCGCCGGGTCCCCGGACTGGAGACGTGGCCCCTCGAGCCCCTGCTGTGGAGCTGGCGCCGCTCCCCGGTGCGGTCTGCCCACGACGTGTCTGTGTGGTTTCAGCCCGACTGCGGTCCTTGCGGGAGGTGCTGTGCGTCTCCGGCCCAGACCTGCAGAGGCTGACCGGCCTCTCGGGCCCAGACGTGCGGCACGTGCTGCGGACGGTCTCCTCCCACCTGCGGGGAAGCGGCGTCCTCACAGGTGGGCAGCGCAGCCATGCTGTGCCCGGGGCTTTGCGGGTCCCCCTCCCTGTCACCACAGCTCCGCTCCCTGTGGGGGGCCAAGGGCACAGCCTCCGCTGAGGAGTGGCTGTGGGGCACAGCGGACGGGACCCTCACTCCCGGGGTCGGTTTCGGGGCCAGAGGAGCAGGGCCAAGGACAAGCAGCGCAGGCAGCAGGAGTGAGCAGGCTTCGGGCAGAGCCCTGCAGCGGGGAGGGGCCTCCTGGCCAGAGGGACCTGCTGGGGTCCTGGCAGCGGCCACCTGGTTGTCCCCTGGCTCCCTGCCCACGTGCACGCCCAGCGCAGCGGCCAGGAGGCAGGCCTGACTCTGCCCCCCCACCCAGCACTGGACCTGCACCTGCAGAGGGACCGCTTCCCAGAGCAGCACCAGCGCCTGAGCCTGGGCTGCCCAGTGCTGGACAGGCTCCTGGGCGGCGGGCTGCCCCTGGACGGCATCACCGAGCTGGCGGGCCGCAGCTCAGCGGGGAAGACCCAGCTGGCACTGCAGCTCTGCCTGGCTGTGCAGTTCCCGCGGCAGTATGGAGGCCTGGAGGCTGGTGAGTGACCTCCCCTTCGGTGGGGGCCGGGGGGGACGTCTAGTCCAGTCGGCTTTCTGGGTCACGGGTGTGTTCTTGGCCGCTGCCCATCGGGACCGGCCACCTCCTGTACTTGGCATCTCTCTCTCCACACGGCTCTGAGATCTCTCCCTGGGGAGAGTGGCCAGCCCCCGCCCCATGTGGAGCTTGAGGTCCCCTGGCTGTGGGCCGGCCTGCAGCCCCCGCACCCTTGCCACACAGGTGGCCGCTCGCACCCCTCCTGCAGGCCGGCTGGCCAGACGCAGAGACGCAGGCCGAAGGGCACCCACTTCTTCCTTGTGCGGAGGGGGCTTGGGCCTGGGCCTGGGTATACGGGGCGAGCGCATTTTCAAGGCTTTTGGGTCCTTGGGGTTAGAAAGTCCGGTGTGTCTGCTGCCTGGGAAAGCCCCCGAGTAGCTCTAGGCCTCCCTGGAAGTCCACGGCATTGACACGTGGCTGCCACGGGGCTCCGAAGTCGCACAGGACACAGGGCCCAGCACCCGAGGGCCCGCGGCCGTGCCTGCCCCACACCCCGCTCACTGTCAGACCTGCCTGTCGCCGACCCTCACCTGTCCCCGTCACAGCTGGGGCCCCGGTGGGGCGTTGGGTGGGGTCGCCGTGAGAGCAGGGCCTGTGCCTCCTGAGAAGCCCCGGCATCGGCACCTGCCGGGCACTCCAGCCGCGAGGCTTTGGTGTGGGGTCTCCTGACCGAGGAGGGCCTGGGCGACGGGCGCCTGGCACTCTGTGCAGTGCCATCCACGCCTGCCTGGTGCCTGGGTGGGTGGACGTTGACAGCTGTCCGTTCACCCCCCCAAGGAGCTGCCACAAGCCTGGCCAGGTGGCTCAGGTGGTTGGAGCATCGTCCCACAAACCAAAAGGTGGTAGGTTCAATCCCCGGTCAGGGTGAGTAAGGGAGGCAGCCAGTCAGTGTGTGTCTCCCCTCCTCTCTGTAGAAACAATGAAAAAATGTCCTGGAGTGAGTGTTAAAAAAATTTTGAGCTCCCAGGAGATGACCTTGACCCTGCCCATGGCCAGCCCCTCCTGGGACTTGCTGGGCATGAATCTGAACCCTCTGGAGCAGTGTCTGACCCCTCGGCCGGTTCCAAAGTCCGGGTGCTGAGCTGAGGCCGGTGTGACGTGGAGACTGGACCCACACCAGGGGCCTGCTCTGTGGCATTTTCTCTCAGTGGGTGTCCCTCCGTCTTGACGGGACCCTTGAAAGCAGGAGTGTCTGTGTGGACACTGCCGCATCTGGGGACCCACAACCTGACCCAGGCCACGGACCTGCCGTGTCTCCCAGCTCCGGGCCTCTCGCTGGTCCGCTCTGCTCTGGTCCCAGAGTGTGTCCAGGTGTGAGGCTGGGCCCCCGCTGCAGGCACCCTCTGCTGGACAGACTCCTTCCCCGTCACACTGTCCCAGGGACTGCCGAAACCAGTGCCGGCCACGTCACGGGGACAGCCCTGGGGCCTCAGCTGCTGGTGCCACCTGTGCGTGCGGCCCAGACAGTGTCACTGCAGGGCTGAGCCCCTGGGGAGGAGGGGCTGCTGGTGCCCTGAGCGGACATCTCCAAAGGCCCTGGGCCCTGTGGTCCCCAGGAGCCGTGTACATCTGCACCGAAGACACGTTCCCCAACAAGCGGCTGCAGCAGCTGATCACGCTGCAGCCGCGCCTGCGGACAGACGCCCCAGGGGACTTGGTGGACAAGCTGCCGTTCGGGGACCGCATCTTCATTGAGCACGCGGCCACGGTGGTAGGTGTCTGGGGGCCCACTCGCTGCCCTCGCCAGTGCGGTGACCCCTGGGCCCCCCGTCAAGGCAACGTAGTTCTCTGCCTGGACGTGGCTCGGGCTGCGCTGGGCGTCCCGGACATTCTCGGTCAACCCTGCACACAGGCGGCGGGGGGCACCACCCTCCGCCTGCTGGCCACCTGGCTGCCCCTGGCCTGGCCAGCAGCAGGGCCTAGTGGGGGGGGGCTGCAAGCAGGTGGGGGGCGTGGGAGGCTGGCCCTGAGCCCGAAGGGAGCGTGGGGACAGCCTCTCTGCAGCCGGGCTTCCTTGGCCTGAAGAGCTGTCACAAAAAGACCGTCAAGTAAAGGCGTATAAACTTTTAATTAAAAAAGAATTTACAATAAAATACATCATCACAAGCAGGGAAGGACCAGGGAGTGGAGGCGGGGCCTCCCGGAGCTGCCACCGTCGGGCCTGCGAGCAGCGTGGCGGTCAGTGTGGCAGCGCAGCCGGGGCAGGGCCGAGGGCGGGAGGAGGTCAGTGCTGTGGTGCCCACGCTCCGGGGCCCTCGGCCGCAGCACCTGGGCCCTGCTGTCACAGGGCCGGCTGTGGCCTCACAGGAGCAGCGTGGTCCTGCGTTCTCTGGGGCGATGCGGCTTCACTTCGGGAGAAGGCGGCAGGTCAGGGTCAGGCCACCAAGACCCAGTGGCCTTTCTATGCTTTGCCCTGGACCCAGCTCCGGGGGGAGCAGGCCTCCCCCTCCCACCCAGCATCTACCTGGATGCCAGGGGCCCGACTCCCTGCTGGGCCCCTTGGTGTCCTGGCCCCCACCTGCCCACCCACCCCTGGTGCCCAGAGCCACCCGCGGGGCTGGGGAGCAGGACTCACGTTGACGGCGTCCTCTAGCCCATTGCCACCGCCGTCCTGCCCCGGGGACTCTCCCGCACAGGCCCTGGGGACGGAGCACAGGGCGGAGTTGCACTTCAGGACGAGGAACCACACAGGACAGCTCTCAGGAGCTCTGATGGGGCAGCCAGAGTCTGTGCCCCCCCACACACCCAGTACTGGAAGGGCAGGGCCTTGGAGGGTGGGTGGGACCAGCTCAGGGCACCTGTGGTCCCACCCTGGCCCCGCGCCTGTCCCACTGTGTCACCTGGCCACAGCCTGGGGTCTCATGTCCCAGGCAGGGCTGGGTGTGGGACTGACTGGGACCCCAGCCCTGACGCCTCCCCCCTGCCCCTGCCAGGCTCAGGGCCAACTTAGGGGCAAATGACAGAGGTCCAGTACGGGGGACAGCCACAGGCCCAGGTGGTCAGAACCAGGCATGAAGCCACAGAGGTTCCACCATGGCCCTGAGGAGAGTGAGGGGCCCCCACTGGGACTTGGGACATAAGATGGGGAGGGCGTGAGGGGTCTCTGGCACACGGGAGGGGCAGTGGGGGCAGTGACGGCCCCCCACCCCCGGGCTTGCAGGACACGCTGCTGGAATGTGTGCGCAAGAAGCTGCCCGCACTGCTGTCGAGAGGCGCGGCCCGCCTGGTGGTCATCGACTCTGTGGCAGCCCCGTTTCGCTGTGAGTTCGACGGGCCGGCCTCAGCACGCAGGGCCCGGGCGCTGCAGGCACTGGGAGCCACGCTGCGCAGGCTCAGCCAGGCCTCCCGGAGCCCGGTGCTCTGCATCAACCAGGTCAGCCGCCCGCCCCTCCCGCCTGCCCGCCCTGCAGGGCGGGGCTCTGCCGCTGACCCTTGTCTGACCTCCAGGTGACAGAGGCCCTGGAGGAGGACGTGGCACCGGGACTGCTGGGGTGAGCAGGGCCCTGGGGGATGGGGGCAGGCCTGGGGCCCGGTGTTGGAGTGACACGCATCTCCCCTCAGGGCCCCGGGGCAGCGCCTGGCTCCCGCCCTGGGCATCGCCTGGGCCAACCAGCTGCTCCTGAGACTGATGGCTGACCGGCGACGCCCCGAGGAAGCTGGGCTGGGCCCACCCGCCCGCACCCTCAGGGTGGTCTTCGCCCCCCACCTGCCTCCCTCGTCCTGTTCCTACACCGTCAACCCGGAGGGCGTGCGTGGGACGCCCGGGACGCAGTCCGGCTGACGCCCAGGAAGCCCGTCTCGGCAGGGCTCCAGGGCTCCGGGGCCCAGTCAGTGTGGAGCCCTGGGTCGGGGTCTCTGTGAGGGTGCCGGCTCAGACACGCCCCCCACTGCCGTGCGGGCCCCACAGGTCACCCACTGTGTCTGGGAGCCCGGCACCCCAGGGAGCAGAGCCCTCTCCCTACGCACGCCTCTGGCCCAGCCCCCCCGCCCCCGCCACTGGCGCTGGTGTGTGGGAGGCTGGCCTGTCTGCTAAGAGGACCCGTTCTGGGCAGATGAGACTGCTGTCCCGCCTGTCCGAGGCGCCTCCCCGGGCCTGGCCTGGGCGATTGGCACATCAGCCCCGGCCTGGCGGGGTGTCTACCCAGACAGGGACATGGCAGGACGCCTGGCAGGAGCTTTTCTTCCGGATGAGAACAGACCTCCCGTCAGCATGGGCCCTGCTGCAACTGGCCCCCAGCTCGGTGGATGCGGAGCCTCTGGTTGTAGGGACAGCAGGCCCCGTGCAGAGGACAGGCCTCTGCGTGTGTGTGCGTGTGAGCAGAGCCACCTGTCTTCACACCTGTCCCTCCCCACCCGACCCGGTCTGGACCTCCTGTGATGTGAGGGGCGTCTCGGACAGACAAGCCATCAGCACAGCAGTGGCCCCTGGACCCGTCCACCGGTGACCTGCTCTTGGCCCGTGGAGACGGGCCCTGCCCTCCCAGCCCCCAGAGCGATGGAGGCACCAGAGAGCCGGGGACTTGGCTGCCCTCCTCCAACTGGGGCACGGCCGACCCTGGGCTGCTGCCAGCTCTGGGGGAGGGGCTGGACATCTCTCATTGGCCAGCAGCCTCCTGTTCGGACACTGTTCTGGGCAGGGTGACCCATTTGTAATACTTCCAAAGTGGCCTGTGACCCCAAAGAGGGGAGAATGGCTGGTGTGAACTAGGAAGGGGCTGGAGCTTTACGGAGCCTTTCTGCAAAAGTACAGGGGACTCTGTGACAGGAAATAGGACACTTTATTTTTGTAATTAAATATAAGCAATTCCAAGTGCTTTCCTGATCAAGTCAACAAAGACAACAAAACGCCTGCAGCTGCAAGACCAGACATTCAACAGACCCAGTGCTCAGCCCCCGGCCCCTTGGGCCACCTGCCCGACTGCCCATCCTGCCGAGGGTCAGTGCCACACCATCACACTTGGGACACTCAGGACAGGGTGTGCGTGGACATGTCACCTGGGTGCAGGGACGGCGCTGTCGGCCTCGTCGGTCAGGCTTGCCGGGCCCGTGTGACCCGCTCTGACCTGCACGTCCAGAGTGACCTGACACTTCACTGGAGGCGCTGTGTCGTTACGCGGTGCTCCAGGCAGCTCCTCGAGTCCAGAAAAGAGACACTGCACCCCTCCAAGACCGAAAGGACCACCGGCTAGGGAGCCTGCTGCCCGGGCGAGGGAAGACCCTCCACTGCCGGGAGTGCCCCCAGGGACTTGGACCAACAGCCTGGCTCCTGCAGGGTCCCCTCACCAGCAGAGGGAAGCACTGAGCAGGTGCAGACAGACCAGAAAGCAGATCAGACCAGCCCTTCGGTTTCCAGACAAATTCCACTCAAGCTGCCGACACCCACACATCCCCTGAACATGGAAGCTGCCACCGCTGGCTTCAGACCCCCTAGCCTCTCCCCCAAAACACTCGGCACAACCTGCAAAAGCACCACATCCCCAAGAGGCCCTGTGCGGGGCCTTGCACGATCAAGGTTGCCAGCCCCCGACTTCGGTTCTGCTCTGAGCCCCGTCCCCGAGGCAGTGGTCCCCAGCGAAATGGCGGGTTTCACAGGCACTGAGCCAGCATCGGAGAAGCAAACCCAGGCAGAGTGAAGGAGGCCCAGGGACGGACAGCTCCTGGCTGCCTCCTGACCACAGCGGGACATGGCGCCAGGCAACGCTGCCACCTCGACGACCTTCAGGGATGCGGCTCTCCGAGGGGTTCCCACTGCCCGGAGCTCTGCTGTAATCTGGGAAGCCAGTCCTCACCCACCCAGACCCCCCAACCTAACTGGAGTCCAGAGCCAAATAGCAGTGTGCCCAGGGAAGTGGGCTGCGGGGCCGGGTAGCCGCAGGGGCCGTGAACTGAGGCCAGCCCCGAGGGAGCAGAGTCACCCAGAAGCACCCGCGCCCCAGGGACACCCTTACACTAGAGAGAACTTCGACAGGAAGTTTCAGGGTCAGCCTCACTGTGACAAACCCCCAGGTCCACACTCGAGCTCTGGGCACCTCACAGTGAACCTAGGGAGTTCCCCCCCCCCCTGCTCAGTGCTGCCCGTGCGGAAACCCCGCGGGATCAACGGGCTGGGCCTCTGCGGGGCCGCTGCCAGGTGCACTCCTCAGAATAAACCTGCTTCCGCCAGCCGCCCTCACGAGGATGCCAGCCTTTCAGAGCTTCAAGTGCAGGGTGGCCCCCCAAGCCTCGGGCAGGGACGTGCCTCTTGCATACACCCGACGTCACGGGGAATCGGTCATTTATTCGGCATTTCCGGGGGCTCGCAGACCCGGAGCAGCAGCCCTCAGGGTAGATCTGAGGACATTCCTGCCAGGCCCGCCCTGTGCTGCACAGCCCGGGGGAAAGAGCTTTTCGGAAATGAAGCGTGCGCCTCCACGGGCACCGTGTGGACGGGGGTCCGAGGTGGACATTTGGGGCAGGGCAGTGGGCAGGCCCCACACAGGAGCTGGGTACGGTCCGAGGGTGGTTTAGGGTCCCAGGCTCCTGTCTACAGCCCGTCAGGCGTTGCGTTAGTGATGCAGAGCCTAAGCCAGACGTCGGAGTCCTGCAGAAAGCGTGCGGGTCTGGGAGCAGCGGCTGAGTCCGCGCTGAAGCCGCTGCCAGGCCCCGTGGGCGCCCTGCGCCACCGCACCTCGGGGGTCGCACAGCTCTCAGTCACGGGGACCGGGCAGGGCCTCCCCTCCGGGCACATGGGCAGGGGCCTGGCAGGGCAGGGCCCCGGGGCCCGTCTAGCTGGGCCTGGGCCCGCAGCGGGCCAAGTCTGTGTGGCTGGCACTCACAGCTCTCGAGTCCGCTAGACGGCTATTTCGTTCCTGTGTGAGAAAACAGATGGGAAAGGGCGTGACCGGCACACCCAGGGACACCGGCCTCAGGGCCTGCGACCACAGCGACAGCCCCACGTGCCCCACACTCAGGTGCAAAGACCAAGCCCCGGGCGGGCCAGGCTGTGCCCACTGCAGACCCCGAGCCAGCGCTGCCCCCGGCGGCGGTGGGGACGCCCTGCAGCTTCCACTGCAAGGCCTGGTGGACAGCACCCCTGGGCAGGCCTGCCATTCGGTGCATGTCAGTATATCAGATGGACGGGGACAACTGGGGAAGTTTCACTCAGCAGGGGTCTGGGGGCTGGGCACAAGCGGCAGCTGCACCCCAGACATTCCTGGGGTCGCTCGGCACCAGGCACTACGGGGCCTACTGTGCCCAACGGTCACTCCAGACATTAACAAAAATGACAGAAAATAAAAAGGCCATTTCCGATGGCAAATAGATACTCGTGGTCTTTGGTGTGAAGGTGACACACTCATGGGAGACAGGGACAAGGTGCTCAGGCCGTGGTGTCAGAGTGACAGCCTCCCAGTCCGTCAGTGGAGTTTAAACAGTTTAAACACTGAACACCAGCTTCACTAGACAGTAATTAGTCGTAAGCTCGTTAGAGGCTGAAATTACACAGATTGACAATACAGATTGTTAATAACTTGCCAAGTTTTGACACTTGTCAGAATATTTCCCTTCAAGTAGGTCAGTCAGAAGTTCTCAAGGTCACTGGTCGCTTCCCCTAGAACACAGACGCCGTCCACTTTCCCACAGTCCCCGGCCAAGTTGCGGCAGACTAATGTCGCCGTGGTGCCCGACGGGAGCATGCGAGGGCCGCGGGCCGGCACCGGTCGTGGGGGCGGGAGGGGCCAGGCTCCTTACTTGGAAACGGTCTCCGGCTGCCTTGCCGCCCACGTTTAGGACGTTCAGAGAGCTGGCACGTTTCATGCTGCGACCAGGACATGGACATGCAAGGACAAACGTCAGCACACAGTCAGCCAGGAACAGGGACACAGCAAAGCCACCCTGGAGCCGATGACCCTGCCTTCTCTCACCCGGCAGGGCCGCCCGCCCCCTGGCCCTCACCGCGGACACCCAGACCTGCGTGCAGAACCAGGAGACTGTCCCGAGACACCGCAGGTGCGTCCTGTGTTGTGCGGGCTCACTGCCCGACACCTGCTTCCACAGGGGCCAAGAGGCTCCGCAGCACCGAGTCCCTGGGTCCCCGGGTCGCCGGGGGGTTTCGGGAAGGGGCCTCAAGGACTCGTGTGGGACATGTTAGCCTGAGTAAGCCTTGTAAAGACACACACTTGAAACTTGCTGATGAGACCAAATGTGTGAATATATGTTCTGTATTTGTGTACTTTTCTACATTAAAAGTAGGAAAAACCTGGCTGGTGTAGCTCAGTGGATTGAGTGCGGGCCTGTGAACCAGAGTATTGCAGTTCGATTCCCAGTCAGGGCACATGCCTGGGATGCAGGCCAGGTCTCAGCAGGGGATGCACAAGAAGCAACCACACATTGATGTTTCTCTCCCTCTCTCCTTCCCTTCCCCTCTAAAGATAAATAAAATCTTTTTTAAAAAGTAGGAAAACAAAATTTTTTCATTAGTAAATTCTGCTTATAAATCAAAATTGGAAACAGATGTCACGACTCTGTATTTAAATACAGTGACTCAACAGATACAAGCTTTCTCCCACTGATACCTTTAAAGCACTAACAAAATACCGTGCAAACTACCTATAACTCGAACATAAACTGCAGACAACCATGCAATTAACTGCCTACTGTCCTCACTGTGCCGCTGGACAGGGCACCAAACGAAAGGCCTGTGACCCTGCAGACGGGGACACGCAAAGTCCTGAGTCCAGGCTGCCACACAAGCAGCACCGACCCGCAGGGGCGCAGCCCTGAGGCCAGGGCGTCGGCTGCAGGGTTAGCAGGACCCAACAGAGGCAGAGGGTCAGAGCCAGGGCACGCACAGGGCCTGGCCCGCAGCAGACACGGAGCGCTCACGGGACGGACTACTACACCAGAGGCGAGGAAATTCACCCCGAGTCAAACTCCCTCCCCGACGTCCAGACAGGATGCCCGGCACTGAGGCACCCCACCCAGTGCTGCCGGGGCTCTGAGCCCGTCTGTACCGGACGCCGGGGAACAGAGGGGCAGCCGCGTCCACGCCCAGTCCCAGTCCAGCCCCACCTCTGCTCTCCACGCCTCCGGGCTCCCACTATTCGGTTCTTGACCAAGACGTTCCTGGAAAAACACATCTCGGCTGTTGAGCAAAACTCCAGTTCCCGAGCTGACACCCTCTCGGGCAGACACCTGTACATCGCTGCACCTCTGACGGGAAGCAGGACCATCTCCCGCCACATCGCTGTTCACACAGCCTTCCCGAGAGACAGAGGTTCGTGATCGGGGACGCACAACGCGCACCAGCGTCTGTGATCATCCAGCCGCTCGATCGGCCAATGAGCTTTTCCTAAGGAAGCTGCACACCCTCCCTCCCCAAACCCCTGTTCCCAACGAGACAGAAGGACAGACTCCCGCCCCTAACCCTCCCCCACTTCCCGGCACCCACACGTCCTTCGAAGCCCAAGGTGCTTGAGCCTCAGGTGGCACCTGACTCACTGGGATCACACCCACGGCCACGCTGCTCCCAGAGCCGAGGTGGTGGGCCCCCAGCCTGACTCCTGCTGCAGCGGGTGGCCGCCCTGCACCGGGGACCAAGGCCAAGCCCAGCAGCAGGCGCGTCACAAACACCCAAGACGTGTGCTCAGCTCTGAAAGCCACTGGGTCAGTGAATGCCCACCGCACCTCCTACCTGCAAAGATCACTGCACTGCAGGAAGAATTTCATGAGATGACGTTTCTAAGTTCAGTCGGTTTTTAAAGAGCTCGCTGAGTGTCGTCTCCAGTGAGACCGCACAGGAAGGCGGCGCATGCCAGCAGGCGGCCGGCTCCTCTCACTCCAGGTCAGGCTGAGCCCACACGGCGCCCCCTCCCGGGAGAGGCAGCAGAAAGGGAGCAAACTCTGGGCCGTCACCAGGGCGGAAGGCCCAGCGACGAGACACCAAGGCAGAACTGGACTCTGCACGGAAAACCTTCGGGACAGGCACAACTCGGGAGGGCACCAGGGCCTGGGCAGACGCCACGGCCCCACAGGAGCGGAAACTCGGTGGGCCTCAGAGACGCGCGTCCTCTCTGCAGACCCCGACCACCAAGCTGTGCGCAGCCGTCACCGCCGTTCCAGAGGCAGTGCAGGGCCCCGTGGCCCAGGCCCACACCCGCGAGACCGCCCACAGGCAGAGGCAGGTGGGCGCGGGGCAGAGCACCCCCACCCACGAGGCGGGGGCTGAGCCTGCAGCACCTGGACGTGGCAGAGAGAGGCCCCCCTGCCTCCAGGACACTGTCCGAGGAACCTGGCCTCGCCATCCCAAGGGATGAGGGCTCCTGCCCCCAGAACTCGAGGCGGAATCGCTTTTAGAACCGAGTCTGACAGCCCGTCAGAAGCAGGTGCTGTTCTGAAAGACTCCACAGAATGGCTGACGAAACCGCGTTTCCGTGAGAAGTGCCTCCGCGGGGGGCTGCCTGCACCAGCCGAGACGCGATAACACTGAGCACAGGACGAGAGCCAACCTCCACCGGCCCTCAACACAGGGTCCCTCAGACCCCGACTCCCAGGCGGTGCCCTCAAGTGTCCGCACAGGCTCCGCAACCATGACCGAAGCTGCCTGGACACGAGGCCTCCTGGGCAAACCCCTCACGATCAAGCCCGGGCACATGACCCTTCCCTGCGTGTACTGGCGCCCGCACGAAGTCCAATGTTGTCACGGCTAGCTTTTCGTCTTACTAGATTAAAACTAGTCTTTTAATTAAAACTTAAAAGGACCTAAACAAATACTGAGTGTCAGCAAGTCACGCGCCTCTCGGGTAAACCCACGAGCCCAAGCCCCGCCGTCTCCGCCCCTGACCTGGTGCAGCCCCCAGACGGGCCCTGGCCCGAGGCCTCAGCACCTGGGACAAAGGCAGCGTGACAGTCGGCGTGGGAGCAACGCTGCGGGACGTGGGGCGGGCAGGGACAGTTACCCGGGGTCCTTGCACTCCGCCTCCCGGGAGCTGCCGCCCTTCAGCTTCCTCACCAGCTTCTCGCTGCTGCGCCGAATGGAGGCCCGAAGTTTGCTGAAGGAGCCGCTGCGTCGCAAAGCTCCAGTGCCGTCCTGAAAGACACGGGGACGGACACGAAGCTGCAGACGGCCGCTCTCCCCACCGCAGGCAGAGCTGAGTGACTGCCGGCACGCGGCCTGGGCCCCTTTGGCCCGGCAATGGGACCCTGCAGCACCGACCATCTGGCTGTGCATGAGTCGGTTTTAATGGAAATCCATCCGTTCTGAAGTGCGTGTCAACAATCTACTGACCGGGGAAACCTCTGAACACAGAGCAGCTCATACCAAAGTGACAGCCCCACAGGAAATCAATGACATTGCTGTACGCCAGGTCTCAAGAAAACAGAGGTGGTCCCCAGGGACAGCACTGAAATCCAGCTCCCATTCCACACACAGGGCCCTGGGCACACAGGTCCGCCAGGGCTGCCTGGGAAACGGTGTCACCCAACGCAGCACGTGGATGCACCGCTTCCTCGGTGGATTTCAGCAGAGTTTTGGCTAATGTCGATTATAAATGTGGTCAGAGAGTTCCATAAAGTGCTCATCCTGTACAAATACCCAAACCCCTCAGAACCTTGCAGAAAGCAAGGGAGACCGCCCCCTTCTGCCCCGACAACGGTCCAGGGGCACGTCCGGCAGGGTGTGGTCAACCCCCAGGGCGGGGCAAGAGCCTCCGTGGCTGCCCAGGGACCAGCGGCCCTCCCCCACTGGGAGCCACGCGCCCCTTCGTCCCGGGAGAAGCGGCAGGGTCCGAGCAGACAGACACCAGACACCAGTCAGCTGGAGTGAGTTTATTAGGGTTAGAGAGACACAGGTACACAGGCCACTCGACAGGGGGATTAGTAGAGAAAAGCAGAACTGCCCAGTGTTCACAGAGGACACAGCCGAGGCTGCGGGGGAGGGGCCGGGGGCGGGGCCCCGCCAGGCCTGGTGCGAGGCAGGGTCGCAGTCATGCACTCCGCGACACCCACGGCCGCGTCTAACTACCTTCACCGACTGAGCGGCTTGCTCGTCGCTCTGAACCGTTAAGCTCGCACGTCACACAGCACATGTTCTTATCGATACAGTTTATGTTACTGAGGACACATCTGGCAAAGCTACGTGTACACAGGGACAGGGACCCCCGAAAGGACAGCAGCGCTGAGAGGGAGGGCCAGTCACAGAGGCGCGGCTCTGACAGAGTCCTAGGTCGCTAAGCACGGCAGCCAGCACGGAGAGAGGCGAGAGCCGCGGGCGCCGCCGTCCTGCAGGAGACAGTGGGCCCCACAGGGCGGCTAGGCCTGTCGGACAGAAACGAGAGAAAGCCCAGGTGAGACTCGGGGGACGGCCGCACCCTCGCCGCGCCGCACGGCTCCCAGCATTTCCAGGCCGCACCGCCGCACAGCACTGCCGTGGCTGTGGCCCTGGGGGGCCCGCCTGCCGCCGGCAGCCACAGCACCGGGCCCTACACTCCCCGCTGTCACCTGGCCTGGGCACTCCTGACACCACTGGAAATGCGTGTCGGCACCGGGCCCGGAACCTCCTTGATACCGCCTAGGAACCAGATTCCCAGGAAGGAGGTTCGGCCACGGAAACCACCACAGCGACCAGGAGAGAGAGGCTGCTCGCAGGCACAGAGTGCACGAGCGTTAAACCCTCTCCCACCTCTCAGCCATGAGCTCTCCAAATCGGGGCTGGGGGGCTTTCTCCTAAAAACTAACATTTACACAGTGCAGGAACTGCAGGCCTTGCACATTCTAAACATGTACTTGATAATCCAAAGCCAAGTTCATTTCAGGAAACAGGTTCCCACAGGCAGCCACATGCCTTGGGTCCTGGTGGACAGAGGCCTCACGACCTGCAGCCCCAGACGCAGGGAGCTGAGCCCCCGCCCAGTCTGACTCACCATGGACGCTGAGCAAGTCACTTAACCAGCCCGAGCTTCATCTTTCTCATCTTTAAAATGGAAAAATAAAACTTGTTACCAACCCCAATGAATGCTGGGAGGACAAGAACACATTAGTTCTGGCTTCTCTTCAGAAAAAGGACGTTCGATGTTAACGTAATTCCGAGAACAGCAATGCTTCTCCACACGTGGTGCTAACTGCGGTCCCCGGGACTGCAGCCAAGTGGGGGGCAGTCCAACGAGACTCCTGCCCCCACCCTGGCCACGGGGTGGCACCAGCTCCTGGGGCCAGTGCAGGGGTCCGCTCACCCCTCACACTCACCCCTCGCACTCACCCCTCGACTCTGTGAGACCCAGTGGGAAGGGCGGCCCCAAACCCGCATGAGCCAGACAATTTCCATCCGTACTGGTTTCGAGGCCGGGGGCACTCAGAGCCAGCGGCGGCGCCGCCAAACCACGGCAAGCGCCTCTCGGAGACGAACAGCCCGCTGCTCTGGCTGAGAGCACAAGGTGGGGGCCACGGTCTTGGGCTTGAGGAGACTTGGGGTCTTTTTTACGTGTGTTCTAGTTGTCCTCCTAATAGCTCTTAAATAAAGAGTGATCCGTTTCTGACTGACGGGCAGCTGCAAACACAAGCACCCCAGAGCATCGCAGGCCGCGGCTCCCACGCGGCTCCCACACGGACTGGCCACCGGCGGAAGCCAGGTGGGCAAGGACACAGGGACCCAGGCTCACCCAGAGAGGAGCCCTCTGCACACAGTACTGCGTCGCCAGAGGCGCGAACGCGCGAGAGAACAGGCGCAAACACGCTCGACAGTGCCACTCGGATCTGCCGTGCGTGCAAGGAAGCCAACCCTCCTGGACCTGCACCAACTGCCGCGGACCTAACGGGCGGGCGAGGCCCGGAGCGGGCTTTCCTGAACACGCCACCCACCGCGTCACAAACCCAGGCGAAACCTCCACGCCCGTTCCTGGCAGGCCCGGCACCTTCCTTTCCTTGTGTTCGAAATTAACAGCCCACAAGGAGCTCGGCTCTGGGCCGAGCCCGGTGACCGGCTCCTGCAGGGACGGCGACACCACCTCGCCACGAGGCCCTGCTTCCTGTGCGAGGACCCCGCCTGCCCACGGGGAGGGGTCCTGCCGTGGCCCCACCGGCAGCAACTTGAAGCAGAACCCGGTGTAAAATAAACCCTAACAGCACTCTCTCACTAGAAACGAGTCACGAGCCCGAGGATGATGCAGGCGCCCAGGAAGGGGACAGCCAGCTGCTCCACTGCCACCCTCGGGGTCTGTCCTCATGTCTCCCTGGCCCCAGGCTCCGGGCTGCACCTCGCCCTGACCACACACCGGGAAAGCACCGCACACACGGGAACGGCAACCCCACCGACACGGCGATCGCGCCGGTCTCGTCGGCCGAGGACGGAGGTGGCATGTCCATGTCTCAGCAAACGTGACCCTTAGAAGGGGCTGCACATGACTGCACCTGGTCCCAGGCGACTTCAAGGCCACCGGGGTGTGTCTACTGCCTCAACCGCCTCACCCCAGGTAACAAGCCGCTTTAGAGATGGACTCTGTGCCCAGTTTGGGGGAGCCCAGCACCGCCTTCCTGGGACTTCAGAGCCTCAGGGAAGCCAGTCCAGGAGCCGAGGCCCTCCCATGAGGGGACGGGGCTGAGTCTGAGCAGTGGCCTCGGTGACGGGGATGCGAGCCCCGCCCCAGCACAGCAGGGGACCCTCGGTTCACTCGCTGCTCTCCCTGACTCCGCTCAGGAGCCCCTGCACCAGGCACTGGCTGAGCCCTGTGCCCGGGGACAAACTGTGTCCAAGACAGAGAGCCACCAGCGTCTCGACGCCCAGCACGAAGGTGTCTGAGGCCCAGCAGATGACGCCCCATGGGGCAACATGTGCAGGGGGGGGAGTAAAGGCACCCTGTCCCAAGTCTCAGTCTTGATGACAGGTGTCAGTGACCATGTGACCACGGGACTTCACAGGCAGGCTGACCCAGAAATACTGTCTCAGGAGAAGTTCCTGCAGAACTTCCCTCGAGGCCACGAGGGAAGGGCTGCACCTGCAGGCTCAGGACCACCAAGGGACCTGCCCTGCGGGAAGCATGCAGACAGGAGCACCCCGGGCAGCACAGCGCATGCCAGGCCCTCGGGGACAGGAGTGGGGACCGCTACCCAAGGGGGAGCAGTCCCAGCAGATGCTGACTAGTTGTCCTGGCACAGGAAAAACCAAAGCAAGGAAGCTGCTGCACAGACGGCCCCAAAGGCGCTCTCCCTGGCACCCTGGACATGCAACAAAACGTCTGCTCCGCAGGCAAATCTTCAGCAGCTGTAGCTGCAGAGAGAACGAGACAGACTTGGAAACACAGATGAGAAAGCCCAGAACTATCAAGCAAAACACCTGCACACCTGCAACTCAGCGCAATCCTGCGGCTTCAAGCCACACAGACGGTACCCTGGGGGCACACTCGCTCCCTGGCGTGTGGCCCGAGGGACCCTGACCAGCTCCAGGAGGACAGTGCCTGAGGGTGCCGCGCTCTCCGGTGCCCACCGGGCACACCGTGGTGAGAGCTCCAGGAAGCCACAGTGAAGCCCAGAAGCCAACCAGGAGCCCACGAGTCTCCAACACGGGGATGTGTCCTGGGCCCGAAAACCTGGGGCAGGGGACGGTGAGAGCAGTGAAGCCCTGGACCCCGGGGGCTCAGGACCACAGTGGGACCTGGGGAGCCACCACCAGGTGTCCCTGCTCCTGACCTGTCCCTTTCTGAAGACGGGCTCGTCTGAAACTGCCCCCATTTAGGGTGTTTAGGTCGACTCTACAAACCCTGCAGCAGCCTGGTCAGTGCGGTCAGGGCACTAGGTCAGTGAGGACATCGGTGAGTTAGAAAAGCAGGCTGGTTATCTGCCACGCTAGCCCCTGGTTCCCAGGAAGCCCGACCACCAGGACACTCAATCAGCATTTGGCGCTTGCAGTGGAGCTGAGGACACGGCCAGGCGGACAGGGGACAGGCCCCAGCGTGGGCAGGAGGCGAGGACGTGCACAAGCTGGGCTGGGGCGAGTTGGAGGGGGCGGGCCCACGGCAGACAGGGCTGGGGGGGGCGCGCACTGTACTTACCCCGCTCCACTCTACGCCCATACTCACTTCCTCCCCTCCGTCAGGGCCGCTCTCGTACTTGACCGAGTCCGCGGTCAGGCTCTCCCGGCTCCGGCGCTTCTCCGAGCTCTCGGGGTCGCCCAGCACCTCGGCCACTCTCTGCTTGTGCGCCGTGTCCAGGCCCTGCGGTCGGATGGGGAGGGGTGGCGTCAGCACCGGGGCTTGGGAGTGCTCGCACCAGGAACAGCAGGGGTCCTCACGCCCTGGCGGAAATGGCCTGGGGGACGTGCGCCCACCCCCCAGTGTCAGTGGACGAGACCCGGCCCGGGTGAAGCGCACGGAGGCCCACACGCTGGAAACGCCGCGCACACAGGCCAAGTGCGAGGAGACCTGAGCGTGATGGGGCCCAGGTGGTGGGTCCATGAGCCCCCGTCTCCTCAAGGTCCCCACATTTCACAAAGTTCTGTGGTGAGGTCCTGGGGACATGCCCAGCGCAGAGGCCTTGGCGCTCTCTCTGGTGGCCCACACGCCCAGCATACAGACAGGGCCAGAGACCCACGGGCAGCCGTGTTCTCAGCACAGCACTCGGAACACCAGCCGCCGATCCCAGCAGGGGCCAGGCCACAGCACATGGCCACGCCTCGTCCCTTCAGACCGCTGCCCCCGCACCTGCGGTCACACACAGCAGCAATGTCCTATTACTTCGGTCCACCTGGTGGCTGAGAAGCAACAGGCTTCCGGGTCCCCATGGGCTCCCACACCTGTGTCTCCGACACAGGCTCTTGCGAACGCCACACCTGTGCCCATTTGCCCCGTTCTCTGGAGCCACAAGCCCCGACCGGCCACGTGTCCCGGGCCCACCCCTCACTCTGCAAACTGGCTGCTCCGGGCAAGAATCCAGCCCTTTCCCCGAGTTTTCTTTATAATTTGTACTTCGGCGTGACTAGCCCCTCCTGATCCTGATCAACAGAGAAGGTGCCTCAGGAGCTCAAAGCTCTTTCCTGCCGAACTCCACTCCTGGCACGCAGGACACTCCCACGTCCAGCCCACGGGGGGAGGCGCAACTGCCGCCACGAACCTGTGTGGGATAGCACTGCCGGCCCGCACTGCCCCAGGGCCGGGCTGCGGTCTCTCCGACTTGCTGGAGTGGATTTGAGGTCCTGCCCTTGCCCCTCCCCCCGCACCCGAGGGCTCTCGCAGTCACCTGTCACCGATGTGCACGGCCCCGCTGAGGCCCTGCTCCACCTGCCGAGTGCCCTCCCCTGTCCGTCTCTCCTCTTGCCGGGACCCCAAGCTGAGAGGCCACCCCATGTGTGTAAGGCCTGGCCACATGCGGGTGGGGCGAGCAGCTGAGTCTGGGGGCTGGCTTCCTGCAGACCTGGGCTCCAGCGCTACTGGCCAGGAATCTGGAGCTAACGCTTAGTGAGGTGTCTTTACACAGAAATACACAAGGCCACAGCGTGACCAGTGGCTCACAGGGACTCCACAGGAGAAGCTGCTAGCACACGTCCACCGCGCCTGCATGGGCTGGAACCCCAGCGAGCCGCTAGCACCAGCGGCATCTGTTTTGAGCGCCTGTGTTCAGTTCTCTCGAGGGTCCACCTGGGAGTGGGACTCGGCGTCCGTCTGGCAGACTGCCAGACCATTCCCCCACAGCTGCCCACCAGCAGCACACGAGGGTCCTCAGTTACCTCCTGCTTCGTGCTTGGCCTCTGCGCCCCCCCCCCCCGAGTGTGGGCAGGTGTGTCGGTCGCCTTCACAGAGACCTCCCTCTGCTCTGGGCCTCTGCGCGGTCCTTCCAACTCCATCCCTTCCGCACACAAGACCCACATCGGACATGGAGTTCCACGTTCCGCCCGTCCCGTGGGCACCTTCGTGGGCCCACGTGCCTCCGACAGCAGTGAGGCGAGCCGATGGAGGTCTTCCCCTGCTACTCGTGCGCGTGGAGTTGCGGTTACAGTGTTGACACAACATGACGCAGTGTCTCCTGTGCAAACTGAACCAATGAAGGTCTCCTCTCCCTCCACTGGGGCTTTAGGAGTCACAGAAAAGCACTGGGAGCCTCAGAGTTGGGGTGGGGGGGGCCAGAGCAGCAGCTTCGGACTGACCTGTTTACGGGACCGCATGGCTGCTTCCTCCAGCGTCTCCGCAGCCTCGAACTTGCCCTGGCGCCGGTACAGAGCCCCGAGGTTCTTCAGGGTGGTGGTGACCGTGGGGCTGCAAGACAGCACAGGCAGACGGCTGAGAGGGTCTCGGAGAGGCCGCTGTCCCCAGCGCTTCATCTGGAGGGCGAGGAGCTTACATTTGGCTAAAAACCCTTTAAATTTCTACGGCACTTTTCTCTACGCAAAACCACAGCCCCCCTGTCTCCCGCACACCCTGTCCACCAGGGCTGTGTGGGCGAGGCCACCGCAGGGGCCCTGCACTGGCGGCAACGGCGGCTGCTCAGACCACAGCCGCCCCATCAGTGGGAATGTCTGTGGGGCTGACTGGTGGCCACTATGCCTCCTGGAGCGAGGGTGCATTAGTGTCCGGAGGACATGGAGGGGACAGAGCGAACCCAAGCCTCAGCGTCGACGGAGCAGGGAGTGCGGCAGGGCCCCCGCCGCCCCCACACTCCCCACAGGCAACCGCACTGCAGACAAGTGGGGGCCTGTTCGCTCTGGCACGGGCACGTCCAATGACCGCACACGGCCTCTGATGCGGAGGCCCAGGCACGCCTGGGGGTGGGGGTGGGACACCTGTGCCGCCTGTGACTCTGACATGTTTGTTAAGTGCCATGGGGCACCCAGGCGGGGGTCAGAAAGCCCCTCTGAGGCGCGATGGCACACAAAGCCTCACAGGGGGGGACTCAGACTCGGCATCCAGACAGGAAGGAGCACACAGGTGTCAGCGGCTCCCAGGGCAGCCCGCAGGGCTCACAGCGCCCTCTGCAGGCACCGAGGCCAGGCAAGCCCCGACCGGGCACACCCCTCACTCTGCAAACTGGCGGGTCCAGGTGAGAATCCAGCCCTTTCCCCAGGGGGTGTGGCTTAGGGTCTCCCCAGGGCGTAGCTCTGTGCGTTTAGGACACGCTGGCTCTCTCAGGTCTGCGGGCCTGAGTGCTCCGCGGCCGCCTCAGACTGGGCCCCTGTCCCACCTCTTGGGAGGTAGCCTTGTATACAGCAGTGTGCAGGGACAGAAGCCACATTTCACCCACACTGTGGTGGCCGTCCTCAGCGTCTTTTACTGGAATTTGGGGAAACCGGACGGTGCAAGCGCACCACCTGGGGGCCTCCGCGCATCCCGAGGTCAGCTGTGCCTGCCCAACACAGTGCCAGCAGCGTCCCCGGCCGGCCGTGTATCAGGGGACAGAGGTACCTGTCGACTTTGCAGGCTTTGTACCAGCCACCGTACTCCCCGAACGACGGCCCGTCCTTCTGCTTCCCCTGAGTCAGAACAGGGGGCTGCAGGTGAGCGGGTCTCCGGAAGCACCCCTCCCCCTGCACTGGGAAGACCCTCGGGACAGCATGCTCTTACTTTGCACTCCTCTCTCTCTTCCGCATGCATCCAGATGGGCTTGTTCTCATCTGCGGAAGGAAGCACAGCCCCGTGAGCAGGGGCTAGCGCGCTGCAGTGGCCGCAAGGTCCTGCTGTTTCCCACAACCCGCCTCAGACCTGACTGCTCACTGCTGGGCGGGGATGCTCACAGGGAGGACACTGCCTGGGAGGACGCCCCACCCAGAGCACAGCACGCAGGCGGGAGCTGTCTCACGCACTCGGTGCTCAGAAGATGCAGAATCCTGTGTACCGGACCTGGTGGGCAACGCCAGCACACAGGGCGCGGGCAGGTCCCCACCACGACACCTGCACAACACTAGAAGCTGCACATGACATTTGGGCTCTGACACCTGAGAGACCCAGCATTAAACAGAAGTATAATGAGAAGGGGTAAGTATTGGGAGATATACATCAATGTTCTTGTAAAATCTCTTTAACTCGCCCTGGCTGGGGTGGCTTAGTGGACTGAGTGCCGACCTGCAAACTGAAGGGCTGCTGGTTCGATTCCCAGTCAGGGTACGTGCCTGGGTTGTAGGCCAGGGCACATGAGAGGCAACTGAAGTATGTCTAATACATTGATGCTTCTCTCTCTCTCTTCCCTTCTCTCTAAAAGTAAATAAATAAATTCTTCAAAAAATGCGTAAATAAGGTCTCCTTAACTTCTGAGAATGCTCACACACACCACCCGTCCAAAGTTCTTAGATGACTCACATGCCCACGGCACGGAGCGTGGCTTCCATCCCGGACACCGAGAGACACGGGAGGAGACGCCGACAACCCGAGCGGGGGGCGCGGGTGACGAACGGTGGGGGCTGCACACCCCACCTCTGCGTGAGTTCCTGAGGTTCCCACACAAGCACCTACGAGGGGTTCTGGGGGAGGCCACACGCCCACCCAGTCCAACCACCCGCCGGCTGCCTGGCCCTGGGCGTCCTGGCCCTGGGGTGGGTGATGTGGGACCCACAGCACAGGCCCTTGAGAAAATCGAAGGCGCATTCACATGTCAACCACTGAACAGACAGGCTGGATGGAGCTCATCTCAGGAGGAAAGTGAGACGTGTTAAACAACCGGTTTCTGTTGTGCTCTGGTCCAGGCGGTCTCGGGAGCAGGGGTGGGGGGCTGCCCCTCGAGACTGACCCCAGAGCGCACCATGCTTCCTTGCAGGCAGGTTTGTTCACGTGCAGGCCCAAGGGAGAGGGCTGAGTCCTGACAATCCCGTCTAGGCCGCTGGCTCTGCAGGTGTGCGCACTGTGTCACCAGCCCCCACACCCCCGGCAGCCGACGACAAACCAGGCCATGAAGCCAGTGTGGGGCGTGCCCTGGGCAAAGCAGGACACGGGACACATGCTTTCTGCCCCCTTTTAACATTCACGTGGAAGGTAAGTCCAAGTATCAGAAACCTGCCTCTGACTAGAGCCCCGCTGACTGGACCATTTTTAGCATTAAAAATCAGCAAATCACCAAGAAACCAGGGTTCCCACAGACAAGAAGCCTTAGGAGGTGGCCTGGGTCCCCACAAAGCCCCTGCATCAGACGAGAGCGAGCAGCGCCCCCCCCCCCCCGCCCACGCCTGCTGCACCGGAAACCGCTGTCCCCTCCCTGAGGCCCACACGACACCAGCTGCAGGAGAAGCAAACGCCTGCGTGACACACACGGTGCCTGTCGAGCAGCTGGAGCCCGTGCCCCATGCACCGAAGCCCTGTGTGAGCACTCGCGGCACTTCAGGGGCAGAAAAGAGACGTCGACCCAGCAGGCCCGGGGTGAGTGGTGAGTGCATGTTTCTGCCAGGCCCCTGCCAGCACGTTGAGAACCACCGGATTACAAAACATTCTGGGAAGCCTGAAGGATTCTGGGAGGTTTTCTAGAACGGCGCATCCAGGCTGTGGCTGAAACAAGTGTGGGCCTTGCAGAAGGCAGTGTGGAGAGCTGGGTGGCGGGCAGACACCACCCCTTGGCACATGGCCGCGACCCAGGGCGCAGAGATGTGGGGTGAGGGCACAGCCGTCACCCTGGCCCCCAGAGGATGCACAGGTGAGCCGACGAGCCCTCGGCTGGGCCACAACCTGCCCTCGAAGTGTCACGTGGGAAGGGGTTTGTGAAGGTCTAATGCATGGCACCCCGAACCCCCGGGACGACGAGGATGGAGGGGGGGCACAGGCAGCAGCAGGCGGGTCACAGGGGCATGGCGCCCCACCATGGCGCCCCACCATGGCGCCCACTTGGGGACGGGGTCCTCTCCTTACCATCGACAGACCCAAACTCCCGCTCGTGCGCACGGGTGAGGATCTCCTTGTACAGCGTCTCTGCCTGCTTGAACTTGCCTTGCTTCAGGTAGCAGGAGGCCTGCCAACGAACACAGTGCTCAGTGTGCCCCCTGCGCGGGCGAGGCAGTCTTCCCGCGAGGCTGAACCGCACACAGTTCAGCCTCAGAGAAGGCAACCCAAGGGGGACGGGGCAGCTCGGACAGCCGTGACAGCACAGATGATAAAATGCTACAGAGACAGACAGCGAGAGAGAGAGACAGAGGGTGTGCGCCCGCCCGGCCCACGCACCAGGTTGTTCTTCGTCTTGGCCACGTTGGGGTCGTCGGGCCCCAGCCGGCTCTGGTAGATCTCCAGGGCCCTCTGGTAGTAGTGCTCCACCTCCTCGTACTTGCCCTGGTTCTGGCACAGCAGCGCCAGGTTGTTCAGCTGCTTGGCCACGTCGGGGTGGTCCTTCCCCAAAACCTGAGGACAGAAGGCCGTGCTAGGACACCCACCCCTCACTGCGCCCCCATCCACTCAGCTCCCCAGCACAAGAAGGGTCCTTCTAAGCAGAAACACAAAGGTGCCTCACTGCCAGGCTCACGGCCCTTAAATGGCTAATCCTGCCCAGCAAACCTAAAAATAACTCAGCCGCAATGTGCTGAACTCTTAACTCCCGGGGTGGGGGGGATGCTGACTTCCTTTACACACAATTTCTTTAAATCTCACAGATCGACACGCAGGGCATATCATCGTTGTACTCTGAAGAGCAGGAAGGCAGCCTCTTTAAAGACTTGAGAGCGCGGCTGCCGAGTTCGGGCCGGACCTGTCCGACTCCCTCCTGAACTCGCAGGCCTCCAAAGGAAGCCCCCAGGTGCACACCGGGCCGACACTCGCCATCCCAGGCAGCCCTGACCAGGGGGGTCTGCGGTCACCCCACAGCACCTCCATCACGTGTCAAACACACCTGCAGGGCCCTGTAACCTCACCATCCCATGTGCTGACACCCCTCTACCCACCGCCCCGCCACCACCTACCCTTCAGGGCCCTCTTCAGGCCCCTTAGACGGGACTCCCTCTCTACAAGTCAGGGAGCACCTCAGGGTGCCCCCAGTCAGCTCACAGGCACGTCCCCCAGTTGCCTGCTTTCTCCGCAAGTGCCACCACAGGAGACCGCCTGACCTGTCCCGTGGTTCATGACCCACCCCTCACCCAGAAAGTGTGAGCCCTGGAGTGCAGGTTCATCCTCCTCACGCAACCCCCGACAGGGGAAGGACACTGTTCTCCCCGGTACCTGCAGCCAGAGGTCCTTCTCTCAGCTCCACGCCTCCACCTGGGCGCCCCCAGGAGGCGTGTGGCCTCCCATCCTCATGGGCAATTCTGACCTCAGTCCCTGGGCCCCCAGGCCCCCAGACCTGGACTTGGAAGAGCCTTGGCCCTCAACTCCCCCAGCTCCATCCAGGAGGCCGGCGCCCCCTGCCTGCCAGACTCTGTCCAGTGCACTGAGCTCCAGGGAGGGGCCGTGTCTCTGACTTGAAGTCACCAACTCCAACAACGCAAGGCCCCCAAGTCTTCAACAAACGTTTCCAGAGTGAATAAAAGAGCAAACCCATGGGACCGGACGAGGCCGACCACAGGAAGGGGTTGTGACACTTCACGTCACCTGGTGCTCTCTCTGAATCCTCACCCCGGCTCCGGGCGATTAGACTGCCTCACTGGACTTCTTCCTACGCAGAGGGCGGCCCGAGGAGGGCTTGCCTGCGGGGTGTAAGATCGGCCCCCCTCCCCCGTCCCCAGCTCCTTGCTGTGTGGCCCCATGTTGAATGGTTGCGCTCTCGGTGTCACTGGTGAGTGACCACACAGACGTTCCCAGTGACAATGACGCCCTGGGCTGCCCCAGCACAGACCAACACCCAAGTGTTCAGTCGCGCTGGACGCCACTGAGACGACCAGGCGCCGGCGCTCAGCACCCGAGAGCCGTGAGTGGGAGCAGCGGCAGCGCATGGCCCCCCATCCTCAACTGAGCTCATCTCCGTTCTGAAAACAACTACCTCACTTTTTGATGCTTTTTAAGCACATGTGACGACTTATTCTCTTACTGGCAGGCACATGCCTTGCTGTCAAAGGAGCTGCCAGTCCAGAGAAAGTCCTCAATCCACATCACCTCCAGGCCCCTGCAGGGGGCCGGGCACACAGACACAGTGGACGCACGCCCCCGGGGCCCAGCCCTGCGCCTGCCGGGCGCCCCCACGCACCTTCTCCCGGATCTCCAGGGCTCTCTTACACAGCGGCTCCGCCTCCTTGTACTTCCCTCTCTTGCCATACAGCACCGCGAGGTTGTTCAGAGTCGCTGCCACCTGCGACACAGGGCACCGCACAGAGGGTGAGTGTGGCAAGGACCAGCTCTGGGCAGCCAGGCCTGGGAGCCCATCACAGCCAGGGCGCGCTGCAGGGGCCGGAACCAAATCAACAGGGTCTTGATTGTTTTCCACGAATTTCACTGGAAACCGCCAAACCAACCGAAATGAATCTGGATGCAAGTCTGACCAGATTTTAATAAAAAAGGAGCATGAATTCTTCAGGAGGAATTTACAGGCGTGCATGCGATTTGGCGTGAGACCCAGAGCCCCGGCACGGGGGCTTGCGCACTGGCCGGCGCTCCTGCCTCTGCAGCAGGGGCCCTACCTGCGCCATCTAGTGGTCAGGCAGCTCTGAGCTCTGCCCTGTTGAGTTCAACAGAACAACGGGTTCAGTAGTGAGGAACGCCAGGGAGGACATGCAAACACGTTAGAGAAGCGGGCGCACACACCGCAGGGTGGTCTTTGCCCAGAGTCTTCTCACGGATGGCCAGGGCGTCGTTCAGCAGGTTTGCTGCATCTTTGTATTTGTTCTGGTCCCTGAAAGTAAACGCGCGTGAGTGTCCCACCTCTGCCGGGCAGTGCCACCCCCAGCCCTTTCCCGGCCATCTGAGTGGTGCCATCACCACCTCCGCTTGCGATAGGAGGCATGGAACGGGGCCTCAGGGAAGTCACGTCTCCAGCCCCCGTCCTCTGTCCCATGGCCACTGGGTAGGGAGAGGAGCTGAAGTTCCCTTGAGACCAGGAAGTGTGCATCCACCCACAGGGCCCCAGCCTGAAGTCTTCCACAGACACGGGTCTCAAAACTGTTGAACTGGAACCACCAAACCAGGGAAGGAAGAGGAAGCCGGTGACAGACCTGTGACCGGAACACACACAGCAAACCGGCCCTGCCGGCCTTCATCACCCCCCTCAGGTTCCTGTGCCCACCTGACCTCTGACCTGCTCTACCTCAGGTCAGTGTGACTAAGACCTGAGCAGACAGGGGCCCCGGGCCCCTGGGCCACAGAGCAGACTAGCTCCACCTGACGTGCTGGCCAAGGGCTTGCACACCAGGAAGCAGGCTCCAATGGCCCCTGAGGACGCAAGGCGCCAATGCGCCAAAGCTTGGATAGCACGGAGGACAGACCCCAAAGACCCTGGTACACGAGTGGCCTGAGAGAGGCAGGGACACAGGGTCAGGGTGGGACACAGGCAAGGAGCAGGGAGGAGATGGGCAGGCACAGGGAGGCTGTTCCAGCACAGACACCCAGGGCACAGTCTTGTGCGGACAACAAAGAGTCCAGTGTGGCCGGGGGCAGGGCGCACGTGGCTGCCCTGGAGGGGCTGGACTGGGCGTCCTGCCCTGCCCTGCACCAGAGCCTGCGGAGGATTTTCACGGTGAGCCCGGGCTGTGTGTGGAGAGAGGGAGGCCGGGAAGTGGCCTGGGCGGGCGTGCACCAGCGCATCTGAAGAGCCGGCCGATGGAGAGTGTGCGCTGCAGGCCCCGGCCGAGGGGCGGGAGGGCTACTCGCCTGTACACCAGCGCCAGGATGTTGAGCATGGTGGCCACGTCCGGGTGGTCATGGCCCGACGTCTTCTCCAGGTCCTCCAGGGCCTGCTTGCAGAGTGGCACGGCCACCTCGTAGCGCCCCTGCGAGGCGTACTGGATGACCAGGTTGTGCAGGGTGCGCAGCCGGGCAGGGATCTCGTAGCCCCCCTGCTGGGCGGCGGCCGCGGCGCTGCTGTGCTGCTGCTGGACTGCAGAGGCGGCCTCGTCAGAAGGACACGCCCCCGCCCCCGCCGGCCCTGCCAACCCGTCCTGCACTCCCTGGGCAGGCTGGGACCACCAGCCCCCGGGGCTGACACAACGCTCCCCCATGCCCCACCCACCACACACGCAGGGCAGCCAGACCACTGTCGTCCCCGGGAGAACAAGCTCTGCCTCTCTCGCTCCGGAAGGACCAGGGTCACATGGAGCTGCCCGTGCGGCCCGTGCCCAGGAGCCTCACATCCCAGCAAACACAGGTCACAAGTCTCTGGGGAGACAGGCGGCCCAGGACAGTCTGCGCCGTGAGCATGAGGGCGCCCACGGATCGCCACGGTGAGACGCCCCTGCCCACGCCGCCCCCATCTGCCTGCAGCAGACGGCCAACCCCCACTCACTTCCTTGGCCGGGGTCATCATCGTCATTTGGGAAAAGGTCATCCAGAGGCTCTTTGGTGGAATCAGTGTCTTTGTCCTCCTGGAAACCAATGAGAACAATCTCAGTCTTACCTGTGCTGCTTGGCGTCCACCTAATTTTAGTTAGAAACGTTAGGCTATGGCTGGGGAGCTCAGTTGGTTGGGGAGCCGTCCGGACACACCCAGGTTGTGGCTCTGATCCCCAGTCAGGGCACACACAGGACTCAACCAGTGAACACTTCAACGGGGGGAACAAGAAATGGATGTTTCTCTCTCGCTCCCCACCCTTCTCTAAAATCAAAAAATTCAAAAAAAACCTCCAACGTTTTTAAACCTTAGAAAAGATGGTCCATTTTTAAATCAAATACAGGATCACCTACAACCTGACTTCTCCTTGCTGGACCAGAACTCAGATTACAAACCAGGGCCAGGCTGCTGGGCAGACGGCGACGGCCTCCCCAGGCCTCAGACTCTGCCTGGTTCTGAGGACACGCACACAGAGCGGGAGACCCTCCCTGGGGTTTTCACTTGAAATCCACGCGTGTGAATCTCTGGAGATGGCACTCTCTGCGCACCACACCGGAGGGCCTGCCACCCTCCCCCGGGGCCCCGGGGCACTCTGAGACCTGTGACTGTGAGCCATGACACAGGTTAAACCAGTGGCCACATGGGGGAGCTGGCCGTCCACCCCCAGCAGGGGTCACCTGGGAGGCACACCAAGCCCAGGTTTGTGACCCCAGCAGAATCTTCAAGACATTCAGATACACCCACCACACGGAGGGCAAGAGCTGGGCTGCACTGCCCAGGGGTCTCACTGTCATCAAAGGCAGGCTCCTTTCCTCCTGGAGGACCAGAGGACCTGCTCCAGATGGAGGGGACACAACAGCCTCGTCCAGCATCTGATCCAGAGCTGGACCATGCGCAGAGTGAGGGAAAGGCCTGAAGGGCCGTGCTGGGGCGCCCAGCATGCAGCGGGGCCGGGGAAGCGCTGCACCACAGGGAGCCTGGAGCTCACTGACTGGCACCCGGCCCTGCAGTGGACCTTCTGTCCACAGGGCATTTCCGCTCTTCTGACCACTGCTCCAGAAAAGTCACGTGACAAGAACGAGGCACAGAGAACATCTGTGACCTGCCCAGGGATGCGCGCCCAAGACCACAACCTTGACCTTGCTCGGGCGACACGGCAGGGGCGAGGAGAGGTCACAGGGAACCCAAGACAGACGCCTGCAGAAGCACTCACGGACGGAGAGAGGTCGTCGTCGTACTTCTTCAGCTGGTTCATGAACTCCAGGTGCTTCTTCTCCTCCTCCAGCTGGGCCACGGCCTGCTCACTGCGCTGCAGCCGCTGCTGTGTGCCCGCCAGCTCGTCCCGCAGCCACTGGTTCTCCTGGCACAGGCGGCGCACCTGCGCCCGCAGCTTCTGCTTCTCCGACTCCACGGCATTCAGGTGATTGGACAGGGCCATCATGACCTGTGGGGAGACACACGGCGCTGCACGCCCGCCCCAAGGCCCTGAGAGACACCTCCCAGAGACACTCCCCGAGAGACACGGTGGAGAACGTGACCCTCTCAGAGCAGCCATGGGACATGGACTCACAGGAGCATGTGCAAGTGTCGCCACGGGACTGAGGCCACACGGCCACTTGCCTGGAGACGCCGTGTTCCACTGTCCAACGAGACAGCTCCCCCCCACCCAGTCCCCCGCACGTGTGCACGCCCACGAGTGTGTGCTGCGTGCAGGCCGCTCTGCTGGGGGCCGGAGCAGCGCTGAGCAAGGCAGGGCAGGCGGGTCACACACAGGGAAAGCCTTTGCAGCTATGCTGAGGGTCACAGGGCTGCAATGCTCTCGTCGGCATAGGGCCCACAGCCACGGGACCCTGCCTGCCGCCCGGTCCTGGGGACAGGGCAGAAGCAGGAGCTGGGGTAGCAGGCTCGGCCGGTCTCCTTCGACCTCACACCTGGCCTGCCTCTTCCTTAACCTCCCAGTCACACCTGAGCCTCCAGTAGTGGGGCTTCTCTTCCTTTCTTAACCCCGTCGTCTGGGAGACAGAAGAGGATGCTCCCGCCCCTACTGCTTCTCCACGACAGGACGTGCGCAGCAGCGGGTGTGCGGCGAGGCACAGGGTTGTGCAGTGCGGCCGCTCTGGTGCCGACGGGGCTCCTCCCTAAGGCAGGAGCGGATGGCGCAGCCCACTGCCGCTTCGCTCCCTCACTCACAGAGAGAGAACTAAGGAGGAAAAGAGCCAATGTTTGGCGTGTTTGATTTTACCTAAAATATGTTGGCAGAACCCAAACACACAGGGCAAGGGGGACACCTAGACGTGTCCAGGCTCGGCCTCCTGGTCGGCCTGATGGAAGCAGAGGCTCGGTGGAATCCACACCGCAGCCTGGCTGGGGCGCGCGGAGAGCCCCAGCCGACACGGGCTCTCTGGCCTCCCTCGGGCTCCAGAACACAGCACCCTCAGTGGGTAGGGTGGCACGGCCCAGTCTCCCCACGCTAGGTGGGGCCGTGCAACCAAGTTCTGCCCCAAGCAGTGTAAGCAGAGAGCTACGCACAGGGGCAGGAAGTGAAGGAAGGAGGCCTGCACGCCCTTCCTGTCCCTTCCGTCCCAGGATGAGGTGACGTGGCTGCGGCTAGCGCCCTGTCTCAGTCCAGGAGGCGCCCACCTGGGACAGCCTACCCACGGTCAGCTGTGCCTGGTCTCTGCTGCCAGAGCCACTGTGTCTGGTCCCAGACCGCCCCGCCCTCCCACCTGTGCCTCGCTCAGGCCGAGCTCCAGCATCTCCAGGGACTTCCGGATCATGCTCGACTTCTCCTCCACCAGGTTGCTCTCCTCATCTTTCTTCAGACACTTCAGTGTCTCCAGCAAACTTTGCAAGATGGAGTTGTGCTCGTTCTTCAGAGCCTCCAACCCCTGGATCACTTGCTTTGTCTTGGAAATGATCTCGTCCTGCGTCAGCTTCTCCAACCTGTCCTCCTTTGCGCACACCATGGTGGACATGTTGTCGTGCATCCTGCAACAAGAAAACATCAGGCACCTTGCCGCGAGGCCCGCTCTCGCCGTGCCCGCGCACGCAGGTGAGCCCTCCGAGCTGCTGGGAGCAGGCAGATGACCGCGCGTGTCTGCCTCCCTGCCCTGGCAGACTGTCTCCCACACCATTTCTGGTTTTCCTGCACGGGCCAACTTAATCACTTCTCTGGCTTAGGTCCGAACTGCTTTTTGGAAAGAATGACAGCAACTGAAATTAACGTCAAAGATTAAAAGCAACAAAACATCCAAACGGCATTTCCAAAACACAGCCTCCGTGAACAGAGCTGTCTCTGAACGTCTGCAGGCCGTGGCTTTCCTGGGTGACACGCAGGAGGGACAGTGAACTCTTTGTGGCCTCTTTACAACAATGCCCAGAGACGGGTCCCAGGAGAAGACAGCACAGGAGCGCAGGGACAGACTGAGGGGCAGCAGGGACAGACTGAGGCGCAGGGGGAGGACCAGGGCAGCTGAACTCTGCAGGAGAGGGGCGACACGCATAGACGCCCCGAGCTGCACAGACAGGAGAGCAGGGCCCCGTGTGTCCTACTCCACATGACACTGTGACTGTCACGCTGCCCCTGCTAAACACACAGGCACCAACTAGAGGACCAGTGCCCAGGGAGCAGGACTCGGCACCAGGAGGTTCCAGCGGTGGACCGAGCACGGCCACCAGCCCCTGCTGGAGAGGAGGGGCTCAGGGCCAGGGTCCCAGGGAAGGGAGGACGTGACACCGCAGGCCCCCTTCTCCCCTCTACTGGCAGAGCACCCCCACACAGCAGACCCAGGGACACCGCCTCGAGCCTTTCCTCCCCCAAAGCAGACAGGACAGTCTCCTGGTCTGGGACACGCAGGCCAGCAGGACAAGGCTAAGATACTATGTGCACCAGGTGCTTACGGCACAGGGCCTCCCCACTGGGGGACAGCAGACACCGCCCCTGCAGGGGGACACAGCCGAGGGGGCAACAGGGGCCGAGGTGGAAGCGGTGAGTGCCCATGGCTTCTGAGCAACTGTGCCTTGTCGTGGGGGGGGGGGCCTGGCACAGTGACAAGACTAGAGGAGAGGGGGGAAGGGCACAGGACACCTGCACTCGGGGGTAAGGTCAGAGGGCGGGACACGATCGGGGAAGGCCAGGGGGCCTCGGTGGCAAAGCCACAGGCACCTTGTCTTGGCACTCGATCCCCAAGCCTCTCCTGAGAAAGTCGAAGGCCCAGTCAGCAGCTCCTCGGAGTCTCTCCCAGTGACACCAACCGGGGCCAAGGAAAGCCGAGTCCCCAGACCAAATAAGAAATGACAGCAACTTCATCACTCGAACCAGCCTGGAAAAGCAAAGCTCTCGGGGCACGAACAGGCCTAAGTCACAGCTACATGAGAGGAAGTCCTGTCCAGGCACAACGAAGGTCAGTGTCAGTTGTATGGTGACAGTGGTGGCTGAGAGGAAGGGAAGAAAGGGCAGCTCTTCTTTTTCCTTTGTAAAGATTTTACATATGCCCTGGCTGGTGTAGCTCACTGGACTGAGCACAGGCCTGCAAACCAGAGGATTGCAGTTCGATTCCCAGTCAGGGCACAGGCCTGGGTTGCGGGCCAGGTCCCCAGCAGGGGACACGAGAGGCAACCATATATTGATGTTTCTCTCCCTCTCTCCTTCCCTTCCCCTCTAAACATACATAAATAAAATCTTTAAAAAAAAAGATTTTACTTATTTATTTTTAGACAGAGGGGAAGGGAGGGAGAAAGAGAGGGAGAGAAATATCCATGTGTGGTTGCCTCTCTTGTGCCCCCTACTGGGGACCTGGCCCGCAACCCAGGCCTGTGCCCTGACTGGGAATCCAAGTGACGACCCTTTGGTTTGCAGGCCACTGAGCCACGCCAGCGGGCGGGCAGTCCTGTTTTAGAAAGGGGAGAAGGGGGAGGGGCAGAAGGGTTAAATAGCAGTGGGAAAACCAAAGAAGGCCTTCAGTGCAGAAAAAAAATCAAAGCAAAATGAGAAAGACCATCACTTTGAGGGCATGTTTCGATTAGTCAAATGAGTTTAAAGAAACCCATTTCAGGTCCTTAAGAACTCTGGAACCACAGTCACAGGGACGAGAACAACAAATGGAAATGTTACCGGGATGCACACATCCAACATAAGAGCTGCTTAAGGCCCCGGCCAGGCAGCTCAACTGCCTAGAGCGCTGTCCCAACGCACCAAGGCTGTGGGGTCGATCCTGGTCGGGGCACATACAGGGGTCGACCAGTGAGTGCATGAGCAAGCGGAACTACAGATCCATATTCCTCCCCCCCTCCCACCACCGTCCTTACTTTCTAGCACAAAAAGCTCCAGGCTCTTTCTGGCTTCTCCTTGCCCAGGCCTGGCCAGTGTCACCATGAACTCCAGGAGCCCTGGTCTCTTTAATGGTAGAATGGTTTTAGAAACCAAAACGGGGCCCGGCTGTCTTCCTCCCAAAACCCACAACCCAAGTGTAACCACGAGAAAGATCAGACAAAGCCAAGTATAACCATGAGAAAGATCAGACAGTGCACGTGCACCCACAGGGACAAAAACCAAGGGGTGTGGCCGCAGCGCAGGTTAGGAACTCACAAAAGAGCCTGCTCCGCTGGTGTCCCCCTGCTCCCTTCCCCAGGACAGAAACAGGAGTCAGTAACCACGCCCCCACACACCCTGAGCCCCTCACAGTTCACCAGAGAGACAGCGGTGGCCCTCACCAGGCTGTCTGCAGTGGTGGGCCCACTTGGAGCCACAAGGCTGGTGAAGCGGGTTGCCCCACCCCACACAACGTAGGGGTGCCAGACAGGGAATCAAAGCAACTCTACCCAATACGCAAAGCAAACAGAGGGAGGCTGCTGAATTCAGGACACAAAGAAACATGGCCCAAATGAACAGAACAGAACTCCAGGAAAAGAACAAAACAAAATGGAGATAAGCACCTATCAGTTGCAGAGTTCAGAACACTGGCCATCAGGATGTTCACAGAACTCACTGTGCACAGCAACAGCATAGAGGAAGGAATAAAAGTTACAGTAAGGGAAATGAAGAAAAATCTACAGGGAACCAATTGTATGGGAGAAAAAGCCGGAATTCAAATCAACGATTTGGAACATAAGGAAGAAAAAAGCAATCATAACAACAAGAAGAAAGAAGAATTCAAAAAATGAGGAGAGGCTTAGGAACCTCTGGGACAACTTTAAACGTTTCAACATCCGAATCATAGGGGAGCCAGAGGGAGAAGAACAAGATCAGAAAACTGAAAACTTATTTGAACAAATACCAAATGAAAACTTCCCCAACCTGGCAAAAAAAATAGACTTACAGGAAGTCCAGGAAGCTCAGAGAGTCCCAAACAAGTTGGACCCAAGGAAGCACACACCAAGGCACATCAGAATTACATTAGCCAAGATTCAAGATAAGGAGAGAGCCCTGGCTGGTGTGGCTCAGTGGATTAAGCACGGGCCTGTAAAGCAAAGGGTCACTGGTTCGGTTCCCAGTCAGGGCACATGCCTGGGTTGCAGGCCAGGTCCCCAGTCGGGGGCATATGAGAGGGAACCACACACTGATGTTTCTCTCCCACTCTTTCTCCTTCCCATTCCCTCTCTATAAAAATAAATAAATAAAATATTTTTTTAAAAAAAGAGGAATCTTTTTAACATTTTTTAATTGATTATGCCATTACATTTGTTCTATTCCCCCCTCCTTTCCCCTCCACCCTGCACACCCCTCCCCCACCATTTCCCCCTCTTTAGTTCATGAACATGTGTCTCAAGTTCTTTAGATTCTGTATTTCCCCTACTATTCTTACCCTCCCCCCTATCTATTTTCTATCTACTGTCTGTGCTACTTATTTTCTGTACCTTCTCCCCCCTTCTCCTTCTCCCACTTCCCTGTTGCTAATCCTCCACGGGATCTTCATTTCTATGGTTCACTCCTGATCTAGCTGTCCTCTTAGTTTGCTTTTGTTTTAGGTGTGGTTGTTGATAACTGTGAGTTTGCTGTCCTTTCACTGCTCATCTTTTTTTATCTTCTTTTTCTTAGGTAAGTCCCTTTAACATTTCATATAATAAGGGCTTGGTGATGATGAACTCCTTGAATTTGGTCTTATCTGAGAAGCACTTTATCTGTCCTTCCATTCTAAATGAAAGCTTTGCTGGATAGAGCAATCTTGGTTGTAGGTCTTTGGTTTTCATGACTTGGAATACCTCTTTCCAGCCCCTTCTTGCCTGGAAGGTCTCTTTTGAGAAATCAGCTGACAGTCTGATGGGAACTCCTTTGTAGGTGACAGTCCCCTTATCTCTTGCTGCTTCTAGGATTCTCTCCTTCATTTTAATCTTGGCTAATGTAATGATGATGTGCCTTGGTGTGTTTCTTCTTGGGTCCAACTTCTTTGGGACTCTCTGAGCTTCCTGCATTTCCTGGAAGTCTATTTCCTTTGCCAGAATAGGGAAGTTCTCCTTTATTATTTGTTCAAATAAGGTTTCCACTCGTGACTGTTCCTCTTCCCCTTCTGGTACCCCTATAATTCAGATGTTGGAACGTTTAAAGATGTCCTGGAGGTTCCTAAGCCTCTCCTCATTTTTTTGAATTCTTGTTTCTTCATTCTTTTCTGTTTGGTCATTTTTTCCTTCCTTCTGGTCTACTCCCTTGATTTCAGTCCCAGTCTCCTTTCCATTACTGTTGGTTTCCTGTGCATTACCATTCATTTCAACTAGTTTAGCTTTCATATGTTTCTCTAATTTGTGACTAAAATCAACCAGTTCTGTGAGGATCCTGATCACCAGTGTTTTGAACTGTGCATCTGAAAGATTGGCTATTTCTTCATCACTTAGATTTATTGGCTCTGGGGCTCTGAATTGTTCTTGATCCATTTTTGGTCTGTTCGTGCCGGGTAAGTATGAGGAGGGGAGCCTTAGTTGTTTACCAGGGCAGGGCCACTCAGGTCGCTGGTTTGTGATGCTGTATGTGGGGGCGGGGTCAGAGAGGGAGCAAT